TCGACGTTTCGCAGGGAGTGCTATCACAATGTGTCCCAGACACTGCCAGTACCCTGACGTATTCACCCCCTTCTTCATACCAGGGATCGGTATTGTCATCTATCCAGACAGACTTCATATCCGACATCTTTTCCACAGGAACGCCAAAGTCGCGTGATCATAGCCCCCTACAGGTTAAGGATAAGATATCTACTGAGATAGATGGTTACCATGTCTGTCCAAGGGATCAGTGCAGAGCCAAGTTCATCAGCAAAAGAGATCTTGAAATCCACTCTAGCGTTGGGCATAGACATATCTGCCTTTGGGGTAATAAGGGGCCATGCTCCAGTGCAGGATTCGCAACGACAGAAGAGCTTAATTGGCATGTGAAGCGCGAACACCTACTACTGTGTCCAGTCCCCGGCTGTGCAGAAGACACATTTGTTTCTAAAGATATCCTCGATTGTCACCTAAAATATGCCCACGGCAATGCGACGGTGGTCCCGAACGCCGCACTTAAGCCGGTCAACCTTCTCGAAACCGCGCCGTCGCCGTCAGAACCAGCAGTGAGTAGCCAAACTCAAACTTCGATTAAGAACCCCAATGCCATAGAAGAGAAGACACTCGGAATGAAGATGTCTCTCGATGTTTCGAAGAAGCACTGCAGAGACCGGCTGGAAGCTGTGCTCGAGAAGAGGATGAGGAAAGCTAACGGTGAGTTACGGACTTTATAAGCTTGGTAAAAGCGATAGCTAATAATATTAGGCGGCACACCGAAAACTGGTGAAGATTCTAAGTATCACATTTCCAAGTTGCTAGAATCAGCTAGTTTCCCCATTATTTGGGAACACGGCGTCCTCCCATTTCTCGTCGAAAACATCCCGAAATGGTGTGGCCATGGTAATGTCATTTCCGTCATGCGTGGGAGGAAGCCCGATTCCAGACGAATCTGTATCATGACGAGGCAAAACGTCTCTAGAGCTCGGAGGCTGGTCATTGCAAGCCACGTACGAGACCTGCTGCCAAAGAATCACCATAATTTAGTCACATTCATATTCTCTGTTGGCGAAGTAAGCCGCGTATGGTCGCGAGGTTTAAGTAAGGATATGCCGGATGAGATTTGCCTCCCGCGTAATCCTTTCTGCTATACGAACCCGTGTATGGGGGATAGTATTGGAGCGATATCAGAGGATGGCGATGAGATTACAGCAACGTTAGGACCCTGCCTAGCAGTTGGCGGCGGGAATTTTTGGTTGGTTAATTTTCACCCGTTTATCGACGTGAGTAAAGGAACCCAGCCAGTACCTATCGAGCACCCGTCTCCGGCGGACCGTACAAGATGCTTAGATGAGAAGCATGAAGCTCTAAATGAAAGCAACCTCAACTTCTTTATTGGCAATTTGACGGCAACTTCCGGGTTCGACTTGGAGACTACTCGGGTTTCCCACGATCCGTATTGGGAAGAATGTGACAAGGAACCTCCATTGGTCGTTACAGATTGGGCATTGGTCTCTACGAAGTGTCAACAGGCCAACATGCTGCGAAAGTTCCCCGCCACCAACCAAAAGCAGGAGACTCCAGTAATTTCGATGAGCTCGGTTGTGCCTGGCGCAGCAGTGTGCTCTACAGGACGTACTTCGGGGTTTCAACGAGGTCAGGTTTGCGAGATACCTGCGTATGTCGATGGTTTAGGAAACGGCACAGGAAAGGCATCTCGGGAGTGGTACGTAGAGGAACCTTACCCCTACGACGACGAAGAAGCTTGGATTTGCGGTGGTATAGGGGTTGAAGGCGATAGCGGTGCTGCCATCATCGATTCTGGGACCAACGCTATGATCGGTCAACTTTGGGGGCGAAACAAGTACTACGGCCCTGGGCCGAGGCACACTTTCTTTACGCCCGTATATGACATTTTAGACGATATTCGAGAGAAGTGTGGCGAGGAGCGACAGCCCCAGCTGCCATCATACCGCGACGAAGCAGAATGTTGGCCTGTCTATCCGGTCTGTGAACAATGTTTTAAACTTCGCGAATATCTCGAAAGTCGGCGTAGCTCTCGAGAGTCATTGCTATCTATGATCGGGGTGCACGATGGAAGAGCCGGGGATACTGACAACGAAGTCACATCCGTATCAGAGTTGGCAACACCAAGAGATGCCTCGAACTTACTTCGTCACGTAGGACTTGAAGCAACGAGCCCGTCATTCAGTGGCATGGTATCACCAGCGCCGATCCACGCTTTCTATCCAATTTCACAAACCCTCTCCCCAGGTAATCCCGAGTTGAGAAGTCCCTATGCGCACGCTTTAAAAGATGATGACCTCTACGAAAGATGTCCGGAAACCAATGAGGCCGCAGCGGGTATATTGCCGACACCAATGGCACGTACTAACAGCCGACCGCCAACCAAAAGGCGAAAAGTAATGCCTGTCAGCACCAACCCCTTTTTAGGATCTAGTTAGATATCTCTGAACAGTGTCAACTGGCTATCCGGCCAAGCCCCCACGTGCCATCTTTCTTGCGCGCTGGTCTCGACGGTTGTGATTAGCCCTGGACCCCTTGTTCGCTTCCTTACGCCTCCTAGCGCTTTCGGTATCTTTATCACCGGCTGGTCCGGCAACATTTCCTCCACGACCACCGCCTCTACCTCGTCCTCGACCACCACGGCCGCGGCCACGATTTCCAGATCCGCCTCGGGGATTGTTGGGATTATTTCCTCCACCGTCAATCTCTGAGTCTTCTGCTGCCGATTCTGCTGGGCTCGCACGCCAAGCAGTTGGGGCTAAAGCAGGCTGGTCGCCACTAAACGCGCTGTATTTCATCTCCAACTGTCTCATCTGATGCGGCGTTCTCGTCAGCATCAAGGCCCAACCCTCAATGGCCTCGTCAGTCATTCCCGTCTGCTGTTTTAGTTTTGATCTGCTTTGGCCTCGTCTCGTAGCTGCGTCTCTGCCGAACACCTTTGAATCTGACTGGTAAGCTCTGAAAAGAGCTTCCTCACTTGCGTCCTTTCGTTTTTGGTCATCCGCGTCTTCTGGGTTTCCGTCGTTCACTACCAATCCAGCGTCTGCAACGTCGTACGTATCATCACGTTCGTCATCGTCTGCGTCAAATGCAGAAAGCGCAGAGAGGATAGCAGCTTTGTTAGGAGCGGATGATCTATCATTCAAAATATCATCTGCTGATTTCTCTGGATATCGTTTTCCGAAATGAATATTAGACATATCTACTGCTAGCTTGTCAAATTCGTCATCATCAAATACATTGTGGCGCGTAGAAGGTGAGAGCGGCGGTGTCGGCCGGGGTGCAATATCGCGACTTTTCCTCCTACTTCTTTCTTGAGATCTATAGATAAATTAGCATATACGATGAAGATGGAATATTCCATGTAGACGAACAGCTCCTCCGTGCGGTCTGCAGCGGCTAAGTGAGCCGGTAGGGAATCTTCAAGTAGGTGCGCAATAACTTGTTCGGTATCATCTTCGTATTCATCTAGCAGCTTCGAAACGAAGCCAGAACCTAGATTTGGGAACAGGTCTTGTATTTGGGATATCTGGCTCATGCGATGTATTTTCATCTCTCCCAGGACATCATCGTCCTCGGTCATAATTCCCTTTCCTTTGTCGATCTTCCGTTTAACTATTTTCTTCGGTCTAGCATTACCACCGGGTTTTCGGAAGCCTTCTAGCGCAACAATAATTGACTTCCATCGTGTCGCGCTCGAGCCAGACTGCTCAAATCGGTGCTGAACCTGCTTGAGGATGGGTGTAACTGTAACCAATTCAGCCACCATAGAGTCGTTCACATTCAACGGCCCTGCTTTATGGCTGTCGGCAGCGGCTTTAAGGGAGTAAAGTTGGTCGGTCAGCATGGAAAAATTAGGATGATTACCCTCAGTCAACCCAATTAGACATAGATAAGCCGTTGTCACAATCGCTTTTCTCAAAGGAGGGTTCATGATCTTGTAGCAACTGATGAGCCCATCAAGAAAATCACTCCCGGCCAAGAAGAATGCAGCTATGTCAGGAGATGCGTGGATGAGGTGATTAAGTCTTTTCAACCGAGACTCTAAGGTTCTGAGGTCACCCTTGAGGCCCGAATCAAGATCTACGATCAATGATTTCTTAAGGACGGTCAACGAGTTTGTCACTTGTAGCTTCTGGGAGATCTGGCTGATCAGAGCGGATGTTCTCTTTTTTGAAAATAGGCGGCTAAAGTCGGAAAGGAACTCCCACCGAAGCAGTGAAGGAGGGGGAGAATGCATTCGTAGTAGTCTAGCAACTAGAAGGAAACATTGGCGGAATAGAAGCTTTGCGAATTGTGAGGTGCCCAGCACGGTAGCACCGTTTGCTGAGGCTTCTGCCAGAAGAGAGACGAGAAACGATAGTAATGTTCCATCACCGGCGGACAAGCTAGTAAACTGGTCCTTGGACAAAGAAAGATGAGCCTCTACCAGTGCGAGCCAGTTAGCTAGGCAGGTTTCCCACTCATCGGGGACAATATGATTCCTCCACGGCGCCTCCGGGAAAGGCGCAAACGGAGGGAGAGCGGCCATGACATTCGGAGTGAACAAAACGTTTCGACTGGCGTCTTCAGGGGAACATATTGTGTTGTGTAACTTCTAACGCTTCTTAAACTTGTTCGAGGTATTAAATAATAGTGTCAGGTCCACATTAAGGATGTTCACCGGATGACTCTTTGCAGATGTTGGCCTTTAGATGAGATCAACCATAAGGTATCAATAAAATAAATGTATAACGTATTAAGTACCTAAGTACCTTACTTAGACCCAGGAGCTACTGCTGCACGTACATCCTACATCCTGGATACATTATGTAAGCAGCTGTATGCACTGTGTATCACTAACTCTTATCCTTATCGACTTGAAAGTATAAGGTTAGACCCACTCTAGCCCTTATCCGAACCCACATTGGGGAATTCCAAGCCCATTATCTTTTCGTAAAATATCGCGAACTTTTTTTTCTTTTTGAGATTCCCCTCTACAAACCAACACCCAAAGGTCGCCTTCATCACTTTGCCGAAACGTCATACCGTTCGAGTCGTGAGGGCAATTTCATAGCGCCAACCGAAGCAAATAACCAACATCTTCCCTTTGACGAAGAAAAGATTAAACCCCAACGCCAAGATGTCGTACAACAAGCCCGAGAAGGACTACGCCGGCGAGCAGGCCAAGACTCACAAGATCCGCATCACCCTCAGCTCCCGCAAGGTGGCCGCGCTCGAGAAGGTATGCAGCGAGCTCATCGAGCGTGCCAAGAGCAAGGACCTCCGCGTCAAGGGCCCCGTCCGCCTTCCCACCAAGACCCTCAAGGTTACCACCCGAAAGACTCCTTGTGGTGAGGGTTCCAAGACCTGGGACTGCTACGAGCTGCGCATCCACAAGCGCCTGATTGAGTACGTCGATTGCCTCCACAAGATTTCCGCTTCTATCGTGCCTTGGCAAGAAATACTAACTGGTCTGATAGTCTGAACGCTCCCACCGAGACCGTCAAGCAGATCATCGTTAACATCGAAGCCGGTGTCGAAGTCGAAGTCACCATTGCTGCTTAAAACAGGATGCGGAAATGAGAAAAGGCGAAACGGCGGATGGGTATTGGGGAAGGATTACCTAGACTCAAAGATACCCGTGTTATTTCAGCTGCGTTCTAGAGATCGCCTGCAACTACACATGCCTGCGGAAACTACGCTGCAGCAGAATCCAAGCCTAAGCCAATTTACGAGACCGATATTCTAACTGATCGCTTCCTGTCATTTGTGAACAAGTCTGTTATTCGTGATCCATTTTAATGTAACTCCAGGGTATCTAATTACCACCTCTCAAGACCGCAAACCTTGTAGCCTATTCCTGTCAGACCAGTCGATAAATGCCACTCCTTTCTAGATAATGCATGCCAGTCGCCCTCGAACGCTTTAAAAATAGCCCTACTCTCAAAAGTTCCAGACGCAATCTTCCCTCAGAGGTGGTACTTCGGGCATGTCTCCTTCAAACTTGCCAGTAGCCATCATGGAAGCATACGCTGCTTTGACACTCGCGGTGTACATCGCGAGGTCGGGCTCTGTGTCCTTGTTGTAGCCGGGCGGACCAGCAGGGAAGAAGATTTTACGCCACGACCCATCCGCGTTCCGTACGCCTGGTACCGGATAATACGTGCCACCGTCCTGGGGCATCTCGTCTTGGTATTTATCATCCACCTTCCACTTATATATCACCGGCTGCCCGTTGAACGACACGATACGCCCGTTCGCAGCCTTGGAAATATAGCTTTCAGGGGGTGGGTGCTGCCTGGTACTATCTGGTGCATATGGGCCTGTCGATGCTGCAGACGTAGCCTGTCCCTGCGTTTGCGGTTGTATTTGCGGCTGCGGTTGGGCTTGGGCGAAAGGGTTACTTGATGGTGGTGCGAATGCGGACGGCTTCTGTGCCGTGAATGGGTTGGTAGTCGGCGGCGCGAAGGCGTTGGAAGATGGTTGATTAAAGGGATTGCTGATAGCTGGAGTAGGAGCCGAGGTGTCCATCTGTTGATCAGAAGATGACGCGTTCGTCGGTTGGAGAAAAGGATTGGCGACCGGTTGCTGGCCGAATGGATTAGGCCCCGAGGTCGATGGTCCCGAGGAAAAAGGGTTGGGTGCGGAAGAAGGTGCTGGCGCGCCAAAAGGGTTCGGTTTCTGCCCTAAGGTTGACGGTTGCCCGAAGGCGTTCTGAGTGGTTTGGCTGAACCCGGTTGGCCCTGAGGTGTTGCTTGCAAAGGGATTTGGCTTCTGGCCCAAAGACGAGGTTTGTCCAAATGCGGGAGCGCCTGGTCCCATCTGTGAGGACTGTCCAAACGTAGGTTTCAGAGCCCCCATCGTAGAGGGTTGGCCGAATGCTGGGGCAGATGGCGCGGATGGCGCTGCACCAAAAGGGTTGGGTTTTTGTCCCAACGCCGACGGCTGGCCAAATGAAGTTGTGCCGCCAGTAAACGGATTCGATTGGGGATTTGACTGGGGAGCTGCCGAGAAGGGATTGGAAGCGAGAGGATTGGGGAATCCCGTCTGGGGGCCAGACACTGCATCTCTTGCAAATATGCCACTGGTATTACCTTGTGGACTGCTCTGCTTGCATATATCTATACGGTTGGGATGCTTATTCTCGGCAGAGAGGATGAAATCGATTGCACCATCGAGGTTGCTCAGCGCCGTCTGGTTCTGCTGTTCAGCTTGTTGGATAAGAGCTGCGATCTCCGACATCTGGCTCAAAGGTCAGCAATGCGAAAAGAAACAATATCACCAAATCATACCGCCTGTTGCTGATTACTGGATCCCCTAACATATAACATGACTTCCTCAGGGCTTTGCTCCCGTGGGTATCCTCCGAATAATTGCTCCGGGGCATCCCTCCCGGGGCCATAACATGACAACATCCATGATGGCCTCTCAATTCCCAAATCCGTTCGTATAATATCTTTAGTGATCTTGTAGGGGTTCTCTTGGTTCCTATTTCCTCCTGTGCTTAGGGCGCTGAAACGGTTCGTACTGGAGCTAGGAGCTCCGAACGGATTCGAATTCGCGTTAGTGTTGGCGCCCGGGTGCTCAAAGCGGCAGGCGGCTGCGTTCACAAACGTTAGTTTTGATACCTGGAAATAAAAAGGGGAATATATCATACTATCATTTTTACAATAGCCTCGTTGCCAGAATTTGCAGATGCGCCCCGCCATGTCGATAGGATGGGTGAGGTGATGATGTGGTTGTGTTAATGGACAAGCTCGAAAAGCTAACCTAGAGGATTTTATCAGCCTTTTCAGCCTTGCAGGAGACTAATGTAGGTCCCCGTGTTCCCTACATGTAGTGGGGCTTTAATATCTTAATACCTATGCGTTTAAAGATGCGATTAGATCATCTTTAAGCGCATATGTACCTTTGGAGAGTTGGAATGTTTTCTGAACGTGGAAGCTTCAATTTAGTTGAAGCTGATGAACATTCTTCTTTACCTCTTTCCTCACGAAATAGACAGATCCACTAACCACATTCATAAAGCTAATGTCAAATACGTACATGTATCTATGTACGTATCTTTAAGCATCACGTGGTTCTACACTCTTTTCGTTACATGTAAGTACCGATTGATTGATCCACGGCTTCATCAAATCACCAGACAGAAAATATGTCACCAAAAAGAATTTATTCACGTAATCTTCAAATTTCTATATACTTGTCGAAAACTACTACCAAAAATGTCAGGCTCGCGGCATACCTATAAGTATTTGTTTACATATAACTAGCCCATCTCAACTATCTCATCCTTGCGCAGTCGCCTTCACAAGAGGCTTCAATCCTCCCTCAATATAGGCAGACGATCTCCAATCCGACCAGTCATGCTTCAGGAGACCCCAAGTCTCTTCAAAGTCCTGTGTTCCCGAGCGGACATAGTAGCTACCCGAGACGACCCAGATAAACCATCCAGCCTTCTGCTCAGCCAGGTAGCTGGCGATGCAAGTAGCATACGTTCCCTGCCACGCGTTGCCCGACATATCGAAGCCAAACTCGGTTAGCAGCACCGGGAACACGTTAACCGCCTTGGAGTCGTCTGCGTGCAACGCCTGGAAGCCGCTGTTGTATAGCGAGCTCTTGAGACTGTTGCAGTTGCTCGCGCTGTTCTGGTAGTTATGAATCTCCAGCACTAGCTTGTTGGCATAGCCCTGGAAGTCTGCCGTACTGAACTTGGCGGTTCCCGGTGTGAATGCCGTGCCCTGAACTACTGGCGTCACGTAAGTATCGAAATCGAGACCCGAAATGAAGATAAGCAAATTCGGGTTTGCTGAGTTGATCGCACTTGTTCCTTTCTTGATGTTTGTATACCAATCCCGCCAGTTGTATGATTGGCTGCTAAGCGTCGGGTTGCTGTCGGGTTTGCGAAGCTCGTTGCGTAGCGACATCGACGTCAGCGCCGGCCAGTTTTTCCCGTGATTTGCCATATACGAGAGACCTCTAGTCCAGTTTTCCACGTCTACATCTATGTCAGCTGCGCGTGCGAAGACTAAGGAGTTCAATGCCGCGTTACTTGCGGATTAAGATAGCCCCAATTCGCATATATAGGTCGTGTACATACTATAATCTGTGTCTCCGAACCAAGAGTTGCCGTCGTTGGTAGAGCAGCACCAAGCAGCCTTGGACATATGGTTATCTAAGTGGACAAAAACCTTTTGCTTTGCACACTCGGCGGCGACGGCGTCAAAAACTTGAAGGCGGGTAGTACTATCGTTGAAAGAAGGGTTCTTCGCAAGAAATTGGCTATAGACTTTGGGTCCGTTTGTCTGGCCGAGCGCCTTGGTAAACGAGTCCTTCACGGTCGTATCCTTGCCATTGTTGCTATAGATCTCGTCTATCATTTGGATGGCGTACGTCAGGCGAATCGCATTCATGCCCACACTCTTGATCTTGGAGACTATGCTCTCGATAGACTGATAGCGAAGTCCGTCTGGAATCATTACTTCTCCGTGACCCGGCCAATTAGTGCCTGCATAGACGACATTTTCACCTCGCGCATTTTTCATGTCGCGGCCAGATGTGACAAGCGGTCCGTAGGGCCAACTATCGGCACGAGCATCAATATCCACCTTCAATGGTGAAGCCCAAGAGAAGGATGGGATGCCGCCCAAGGCAAGCAAAGACACAAGAGAACGACGCAATCCCGAGCTCATCATCGTGATAGAATGGCGTATTTCCTGCAGTGATCATCATATCACCGCGAGGGACCGTTTCCCACGGGGTGTTGTAGATTATATGCTATTTGCCAAGAAGAGCTTCACAACATACGAGAATATTGTTAGTGCCCTAGATGCCCTAGAACACCTAAGCAAGCTAGGGTATACCACCTATACGAGAGTGTTGTCTGAGGAAGTTCCAAGATTCGGGAGCTCGTAGGAACATCTTCCCGAGCGGCCGACTTTTCACCACCTCTCATGTTACGACTACGGTATAATCACAGCTTATGTAGTATTTACCCAGGGACGAAGAGGATTTGGATGCCTATTGAAGATCAGAAAGTGTGGGGGACAGGGGCCGCCGATGGGCAAAACAAGATAGGAATAAATATTTCCGTCGTCATTCATCCAGATTGCCGGCATATCATCTCCACATTCACGTTCTCGGCCAGCGGAAGTATAGAACTTATCCTAGGCTAGATCCAGCCGGCCCGTCCAATATTAAACTAGGTACCGGTATTTATGTATCTAGCTACTCTTGGATAAGGGGCCGTCGCCGACTGCTGGACTTAATTAATCCCGGCCAGTTCCATAAGGGGAAAGCAACAAGGGTTCTTTAACATGAATGAATACGAGACAGGGGATGCCCACCGCCAGGTTTTCTAAATATAATTTAGGCTGGGCAATTCAGATCGCCTACCTTGCCGGCTTCGAGCTTGCATAGGTACCTAGTTTCAATCTCATCGGTTGGCGACCGCATACATCATCCATTTCGTAGGTATCACTCCTTTTTATCATATCTGATCGAGAACACCCAAAGTTTTAAATACGCTTCCTAAACTCAACCATAGGACCATCTTTTAAGCTCGTGAATTGGTCGATCAGCTGGAACTCATCCACGCGTCGCCGACCCCATTCAAGATCAGGATTGCCCTCTGCCGGATCAAAGCCGGCTGACTTACGCAAATCGTACATGTATAGCGTTCTAGCCAACGTCGTCATCATCTCAATATATGCAAGGCCCTTTCCTATACATCCTCGAGGTCCGATGGAGAAGGGGCAGAAAGCGCTCTGCGCCAGCGATATGTCTTGCGCTGTCACATTGCTTCCGCTTAATTCCCCAAAGGTCTTACGCGAGCCCTCGATCCAGCGCTCTGGGACGTACGAGAACGGATGCGGGTAGTACGCTGGATTGTGATGAATAGTATAGTGAGGAGTGCCAACGACGATCCCTTCGGGTATAGACTCGCCGTCAATCGTGATACCGCCTTTCAGGACTTCGCGAGGCAAGATTCCGCCTACCGAGGGAGACATACGCATAGCTTCGTCGATGCACGCCCGGAGGTAGGTACACGAGTTTAGCGCTGGGCCTTGACAGATCTCTTCTACGTCGCTAAATTTCGCCCGCACTTCTTGGCTCGCTTTTTGCAATGCCACTTGATTACGGACCAGATAGAACAACGTTGCCGCCATCGCGGTCGACGTCGTGTCGCTTCCTGCGATGATCCTTACAGTACTGTTAGCCAACGCAGCCTACACACGGGGTTGCCTACTCGGATACATACAGCAGATTTGATTCTCCCCATAACTCGCTCGTCGCAAATCCCTGCCCGGTTTCGGGGTCCCGTGCTTTAAGCAGATGGTAGAAGAAATCGCGACGGTCCGAATCATCGCCTAAATTGGTGCGTTCCGCAAGCTGGGCTTTGCTGTATGCCATGTACTTCGCGCGACCAGTCGCAATTCTGCGGAACAAGATCTTATCAAGGTGAAGCTTGCCGACGGCAGACATGGTTCCGCACTTCCATAGTTAATAAATGGATAGGTACCTTTCAAAAAGAAAACGATAGGCTCTGGATACTCACGATAAGGTGCCTCGTGGTAGCAAGCGATACCAACTCGAGCGCGTACCGATTATCGGGCTTTTCCAGCATGTGGAAGGCTTTCCCAAAGCACAAATCACCGAGTATGTCCATGGCAAGGTAATTACACCAGTCAGCCATGTTCTTAGCTACGGTCCATCCCTTTTTCTCGTCGCTCGCACCGAGGCCGATCTGCTCGCAGAAGGATCGCACGTTGGATAGGATGTACCTCTCCATCTCCTTGACGGCTCCATCCGAGAACGCCTGCGAGAGGACCCTCCTCTTCCGGGCATGCAGGGCTTTATCTCTCGTATTGTGAGTATTGGATGCCGGGTGTACGAACGCATCGTAGAACTCGGCCTTCCGCACGTTAGATTTAAATCCGTAGATATCCTTTAGGGCCGTGTTTGAGTTGAAGGAGACGCTGTTAGGTCCAAACCGCACGACCTTTCCATATTTCTCGTGTAATCGCCAGAACTCCAGGTGTCGGTCTCCTTTCCAGGCGTGATATAATTGGTAGGCGTCTGTGATCTTGGCTATAAACGGACCCGGATACTTAGCTAGAGGGTGAAAGAATAATCGATAGATAACAAGTCCAACAACCTAGGGCATACACCGGTCAGTGTGCTCGAGCTTGATTTATATACAATTGCTGTAGGCTTCTTACGTAAATTGATGCTAACGCAGCCGTAACAGTGACGAAATATATTAAGTCGACGAATATCATCGTCATATTCTGTACTATGTAGGAAGGATACCTAGAGAGGTATCCTTTCTATGATAAGGTAAATGATGAATTTATTTCTGTCTCTCAAGTTTGTCGTCGCCGGAAGGTTAACAAAATTTGCTTATCATGGCCTCGTGTTTATGCTCACTACGTGTTCGTGTAGTAGCTACCATCTCTATCTCTTATACAATATCTATCACCAGACAGTTTAAATATATCCAAGATAGAGGATCTCGGCTTTTCACGGTAGCAAAACTGCAATAGCAAGCCGAAAGTACGGAACCCAGACGGAACTGACGTCGTCCATTTTACCCAATGAAGTTTAAGGCCGACGCGGTTACCAGCGGAAACCTCAGAGCCGCGTCTCCAATTCGAAGTTACTATGCTTCTAGCTTACCATCTTTCCTACCTATCACACTTTCACAGATGTAATCATTCTGTCACGAGGTCCAGATTGGTTGAGTACTTGGTCGTATATGCCGATCTGTGGAATTTGTCAACCGTTTTATGCCGCTGCATTTGATGTTAGAGTGCATACTCACCACCCTCACCTACCTATTAGAACCCGTAACCTAGCTCGTTTATCATTGTGTTGCTATCTTGTCGGTAGGTATGATGAGGGGAGGGTTACTACAGATGGGTTAATTCCGTGCTCTAAGATAGACTGACGACATACCTGCAAGGCCCTTCGTCTTAACTGTTTTAGTAGTTAGTTAATCTTAGAGCAAACTTTGTTATAAACTCTAATAATTCGAGTACTTACATGTAGGAAGTAAATTCGAGAGAGCATTTTGTTATGGTTTTATATACCAATAATACCTGAAATATACCCGGTAAAACAATTAAAGTTTAGAACCTTAAACACCGTACGGATCCGTAAAAAACGCAGCCGGATAAAACAATTATAACTGTGCATAAAATACGAAAATACGAGGTACATAGTATTATTTATTTCATTATTTTACCGTTTTGTTAAAAGTTAATTAAACGGTATATATTTAGCTTAATATTTTAAGCCATACATATACCGTTTAATATAATAAAAACTTAAATTTATGTACGTATTTTTTATTATACCATTTATTTAATTAAATAATATATATACGGTTTTTTTACCGCACGTGTTAATTTTTTAAAACGTATATAAATTTAAGCCATATTTATACCGTTTAATGCAATAAGCGGTATAAATACCGTTTAATTAAAATAAACCGTTTAAAAATTAAACCGTTTAAAAATTTAAGCCGTATACGTATAACGTAATACATATATGTATAATATAATAAATATAATTAATTAAATATAATTAAATAAATTAAATTAAATAAATTTAATTAAATAAATTTAATTAAATAAATTAAATTAAATAAATTTAATTAAATAAATTAAATTAAATAAATTTAATTAAATAAATTTAATTAAATAAATTAAATTAAATAAATTTAATTGATTTAATATGCGTGGTTTTATATGGTTTTATATGTGGTTTTATATATGGCTTTATTTAATATGTGGTATGTGCGGCGTGGGTGGTGTATACGCACTTGCCTTGTTAAATACATATATATTACATTAAAAATATTATCGTACGCGCGTAACGTAACTGTTTATATTAATTAATTTATTTAAATAATGTGTATATTTTAACCAATTGAAAAATTAAATCTTGTAATTTTATAACTGTAACATTTAAATAAAAAATATATAACATGTAAAAAATAAAAATATAACATTATATAATTAATATAACAATATTATATAATTAATATAATGTTATACTTTCTTTTTACACATATGTTTATATACCATATAAACCGCTCGAAATTTTAAACCGTTTAAACTTTTAAACGGTTTAATTATAATAAACCATATTTATACCGTATAAATATAATTTATTATATAAATAATTTGTTTTAATTTAACGGTTTTTTTTTAAAACGTTTAAAAAATTTTAAACTGTTTAATTAAGCTTAACGTTTAAAAATTATAACTAAAACCTTTTTTTTTATAAATCAAAGCGGTTTAATTTTTTAAACAGTATATATACGGTATATATACCGTTTAGTATACCCCCCTATGTACGGTAAGGTAGTGTCCCCCATGCGTACCCCGGCACGTCACCTAATCATGCATATGATACTAACTTTAAATAGCGAGGTATGTAACCTAATGTACCTAGATGCATTAGGTACATACATGTAGGTAGTAAAGTCACCTGAGGTACAATGCCTAACATACCACCTGTATGTACCTATCAAAAGTGTAACGTCGAAAGACCCCTAACTTTCGGTTTCAATTGGATCTTCAGGGGTCTTCGTTGGTTCCTCCAGTTAAGCCAGTGGCCTCACCAGCGCTTTCACCCTTCCCCCCCTTGGTCGGTGAAACATTGCGTATCATGGCCTGTATTTCCGTGTAGGAAGGTGTGCCTTCGTTCATCTTTGGTATTTATTTTCCGTCCTTTCCTCTTATACGAAACATCATTATTCATCCCATCCATTCTTTTCTGCCCTTGCAATTTCCAACTATTATACTTTCTTTTTTTCCTCTTTCAGCTTCGCTTTAGCACATGCGAAACCTCAAACTACACCGAGGTCACAGTCATTCTTACTAGCGTTACCTGTCACTTGGTATTCGGAAGCACCCGAACTTGCAAATCAGCCATTTGGGTAATGAAGAAGACGATCGTGAAGTACAGCACCGAACACGCCCCGAAACCCAATTATTGCCTATCTCCTACGTAATGAGTCCTCTCCCGATTAACCAGTCGATACCATCGGCGGCATCGCTGGCGTCGCACTTTGCTCGAGCCATCTCCCACGTCTTGACGACGCGCGACGAGGACGAGGATGCAAAGTGCCACCCGCGACCTGACATAGACCTTTGCGAAAAGCCCCAAGCATCCAATCACACGATCGAAATCTTAATCGGGGTATTAGGGTAAGTCTATATTCTGGTTGCGAAAGCTGAAGAAAAAGAAAGGAAGAAGATAAGACCTATAATTTGCAAGGAGAATACCCGTTGACGAGACCCTTTAATAATAGCGGCCTCCTCGTTGTCTCAACAGTCAGCATTCTTCTTGTGCTGCACATCCGGCGCCAGCGGCAAGACAGGCGAGAGTTTCCCAAGAGCAGCCAAGAACTTGATGATTACGGTGTCGGCCCTATGCCCCCTACTACTACTACTGCTGCTGCTGCCAAGCCTCCCAGACCCACCAAACCTCAGAACGCGTATCGCCAGCCGCGCGCGGAACCAGACGATGGCGACGACCTCAAACCGCCCGGGCGGCGGGATTCCCTAAACTCTCTTGCGCGCTCCATCCGCGGTAACCCAGATGCTTACAGATCAAGGCCAGATGACACATCGCTCGATATGAAACCCGTAGAGCCGGCAAGTCAGCTGTAAGGGGGAAGAGGAAGAAGAGAAAGGGAAGAGAAGGGTGAGAAGGAGAATGTGATACCCATCGTCAAGCCCTGATTTATGAAGATCAATAAGTAAAATGAGTAGATCTAGCGATAGGTCAATTTGTAGTGGAACTGTAGTTTTCGTCTTCAACTACCTAAGCTCTCGCCCAAAATGATTGTGGATTTTGCTTCGCTTCTGTCTACCATGTACATATGATCTTGCATCATTCTTGCTAAAACTAGCTTGTTTAGCTTCGAGCTATACGGAATAGATAGAGATGACTATATTCAATATAATAGATATGACAGCCAAGACCAGCTATTACATTCGCATTCGACAATAACATGATTAAGCAGCTAGCCCAGGAGATCCCAGGAGATCCCTATAGGAGGTATTGGGCTTTCACTCCAGGGTATTATCAGGTAGTCAGACTCGTCAAAATAACTTAAAATCGAGACATTTGATCGTCTCACTCTCAATTCGATACGTCGTCGCTAAGCAAGTCTCGATACCCCTAAAAAGCACACTCATAAGCTCCGGGACGGAACGCCTCTCGCAGAGGTGGCCTGTCTTGCCTGTATAACTCGCGACGCATAATCTACACGTTTATACATCCCTGTACGCTGGGCTACTTTGTACATATGATGCCAATTATCTAATTCCTAAACGCCACGCTCCCATGAGGGTCCGATTGCTTCAACCTAGTCTCCAAACCACAGGTACGACACCCGCAAGCCACGTTTCGTCGACAACCGCTTCGCCATTGTATGAGCTACCTTGTTCGAATTACTCCAAACCCCCAATCATTAAGCTGCTATAAACATGGTCCATCATGTAGGCCCAAGTAGCTCAACTTTCCAACCCAGCATATGTACTTAATTGATTCAGTAAGAATGCCCACTTGGGGCTCTTGAGGCTTTGTAATGCCCCAAAGAGACTGTCTCTCGTGGGGAGAGCATTTGCTGGAATGCTAGTCGGGTTGTTTGGATCTCTCGCCTTCTCGCTTAGTTTCCTAAGGGTGGAGACACCGCAGGTAATGATATAAAGAATATCCACGTCTTCGCGTGGTTGAGACCTGGGATTGCCGCTTATACGGGGAGTCGGTTCTGCTTGTGTGCAGAGAGTACGAATAAGACGGAAAAGATTCTGCGCGAAGCCTTCCCCGGATGACAGCCAAGCGCGCGTTACCCCGGACTCATATCCCGGCGCTAGCTGGGCAACGATGTCGGCGGCAAGTAAACCTTGCATTAGCAGTGCTTTGCGCGCCTCGACAAATGATGGTAAATTTGCTGGGCGGCTCTCTTTGTTTTGATCCGGAATGGGAGAGACAGCGAGACCGAAAGTCCGCGTGAGAAGCTCGTAAGGAGGTGAGGCGGCCGCGTCGGCTGCGAAGATAATCTTATAGTACGTTCTGTTCGGCTCGTCGCGCGCCAGAAGTTTAGCTAATGAGTCGACAGCGTGTGGGAGATACGGGTGAACTGAGGGCTCGAATGGCGAGAAAACCACCCGCTCTGTCGTTAGGGAAGGCCCCGGCGACGGAGCGAAAGCAAGAAGAAATTGTAGGAGACAAAGTGCTTGTTCGCGACCGGGTATCTCGACGGAGCTAGTAATATTGGACAGCAAAATTATAACATCCTTCATGAAGTCGAGCGTATTCCTTGGGGCTCGTAGCAGGTTATCATGCGTACCTAGAGTTCGTATCACGCCACAAAGGAACTTGACTACGATCTCGTCAGCAAGGACTGCTTGGTTAACTTCCATAAATGAAAAGTTTCGTAGTATCGTGGTGATTGCTAACAGACGATCGGCAGCATGTTCAAGCTCGTACTCCGCGTCTCCAAATACGTGAGGTTTACGAAGGCTTATGGCTTCGAGGCGGCAGCTTCTCATAACATCTTCATACGAAGTAAGATCTATTTCGTCTGAAACCGGATCTGCCTTGTCCGCGAGTAGGTCAACCTGCTCTTCTGCGCAATCTATAAGAGACTCCACCAAGTCATCGCAAGCTCTCAAGTCGATTGATAAGTTCGGTATATACTCGGCTGCGCGCGATATAGATCCGAGAACATCAAGAGCGAGCCGTACTTCTCCATGTATGCCACACTGGAGGCTTTTTGTGAGAGCGTGGAGATCAATATTGCCGAGCTCCTGAGGTGGTGGAACATCTGGCCGCCACTTTTCTAAATCGTTCCCTAGCTTTCGTATTGACTCGAGATCAAAGCCGCCATAGAGATCAGGGAGCATCTCTCGAGAACACGGTGAATATTCGTCGGGATCTGACGAGAATGGTCCTGGAAAGGGCAAGCTGGCGGTGGTACCATTCGTATGTGCTCCATCCGCCTGCTGAGCTGGGGGCTGCACCGAAATACTCCCACCCTTACCGGTAGATGCGGGAGATTGTACGGAAAAGTCGCTACTCGCCTGTCTGGCGTCAATACTTCTTGACATACTATTTCTTACGTGTCCTTGGTTTGCATTAGGCTGCTGCTGACTTATTCGCGGCTGCTGTGGTGTTGAGAAGCCGTTGGCGCTAGCTTGCTGCATAGCAGGTGTTATCTGCTTGATGGGTGTCTGTACATGTGGCTGTTGCATCTGAGGGACCTGTCCGGGCTGCATGGGCTGTCCGTGCGGTAACTGACCCATTCTCTGTGGTACGCCTGGACCTGGTACACCAGGCATACCCGCCGGTCCGCCCGCCTGCTGCTTCATATGCTGGGTTCGTTGTTGCATCGTCCAAACCTCCTCGAACTTTAATAGATTCTGCTCATATATACCCCGTACTTGAGCCGGGGCCGAGGGAATTTGCTGTGGATTAAAGCCAACCGACGCGGCAACCTGCGTCCAGAGGTTACGGCCCGTTACATTCCTATAGCCACCGTACTTGGAAACGTTCTGGAAAAGTTGAAGAAGGTGTAAAGGTCGGCCTTCAATAATAGGATTTGTTTCCAGGGGAAGTTGCCTCATGGCCATAAACGTCGTGAGGTTTTTTAAGAATGCTTCGGGATTGTTAGCTCGTGGCATCTGCGAGGCTTGCTGAGGGTGCATGACGCCGGGTGGCATCTGGCCATTTTGCATCGGCATTCCTTGCTTGGGCATCATGCCTCGGCCTTGAGCCATGGTCTGAGCTTGTATCTGCGCTGCCATCGGCATGCCGCCTTGCTGAAGCTGTTGTTGCAGGCGCATTTGATATAACATCTTTTGCTGGTCCATCGCGCCGCGCCCTTGCGCTGCCTGCATCTGTTGCATCTGCTGCATTTGTTGGGTAAGCATCTGGCTAGGGTGGACCTGCGACATCTGCTGAGGCATCTGGCCCATCGACGGAGGCATCATATGTTGCGCCATGGGATTCTGGGCCGAGGGCGGCCTGGCAGGCGACGCGCCGGGCGTGTAACCCGGATTGAAACCTTGCGGGAAATTTTGCGGGTTCATGAACATGCCTGGTTGAGGTGTGCCGCCGTGGTCTGATGGGACCGGCGAAGCCTGAGGGCCAAACTGTTGGGAGGCCGGAGAGAAAGGATGCGGTGACGCGGTATTGACGCGTTGCGGCACGCTTCCCGGACGCAGCTGATTACCGGCCATTACAGGCGATGGAGACGCGTTTGTCGAGCCATTGGGTTGCAAGTGGGGATAATGCTGCGGTTGATTAGGATTTTGCGGCTGCATCGCATTTGGCTGGAAGCCCGGGAAGGGCGATTGCTGAGGCGTGTCGGCGCGCGACGTCGGGAGCATGCCCGGGTTTTGTCGGGGAGACGCGCCAATGCTATCCTCCCTAGGTCGAGGTCGTTTCGAGGGGATGACAGGGTTGGTCTGATATGCGGGATTCGAGAAGGAGGGCGAGGCGTTGCGCATCGGGCTATTCTGCATAGCAGCGGCCATCTGTTGAGGATTAAACTGGCCAGCAGCCATATGATTGAACTGAGCAGTATTTGCCATGAAGGCCGAGGGATCCATCATGCCTCCCGGCCCGGCACCCATTCCTCCGCCTGCTCCCATGTTATTCGGGTCGTTCATGTGTGGGAAGCCGTTGCCATTGTGGTTTTGGACGGCAGCGGCCTCGTTAATCCAAGAACTCATGACGGATGTAATCGCGAATGGGAACCCATCTGACTGTAATTTAAATAAAGTTAGCGATTACAATGGATTATGACGAGTGCATTGAGATGGAATAATGATAAATTAAAGCCGGTAGTGTCACGGGCGACGACTGTCGCGATGGAATAGAAAAAAAGTCGCGTCGCGAGTCGATTAAGGAATTTTGGGGGGTGAACGGCCACGGTGCGATCGGGGAAAATAAGTTGGTACGGTCGCAGGTTTTCGGTGGTTGGGGGGAGATAGGTTTGCTTGGGAAGGGCACTCTAGCAGAGCTACCTAAGTCTAGTGCTGCGACTTGCTGCAGTCGCTTGTAGCGCTGTGAATTGGGGCGGGGATTGAGCATTCGCCAGCGAAGAGTTCCCTAAACGCAGCGCTATGCTAAGCTGTATCATAGGTATCACAGGTACCATATGTACCTTAATAGTAGTGGTCGGTACTTTGGCATGCACATAAACAGGTACGTACAGTATGAGTAGACTGTATATACCGTGCTACATATGCCTTACGAAAATAGAAGGGAAGTGATAGTGATAGCGATAACAACAACCTGGGCAGAAATGTACGGAAACGGGGACGGGAACGGGAATGGGACATGAACGGCCACCGGCGAAAGGGCGGCGCCCACTTTCGTAATTGGCAGATCCGAGCCTGAGTACGGAGGTTGGTTCTATAATAGTGATAATACGGAATTGACGGATGGGGTCGTATGTACGGCCGTGCCAGGTGTGTCAGTCGCCCACCTTGTCACCCTTATCGCTATTATGTGCCTGTGCCAGTGCCAGTGACAGCGACCGATCGTTTCAATGCAGCACTGCGCATCAACCCATCAACACCATCCGACACTTGAAGGGTGCTGACCGAGATTGTGACGGGGATAAGGTTATCCTTCTTTTTCAGTAGTGGTGTTCATTATATTTGGACACAGTACATACGGAACACCCGAATGCCACTCGAACAAGGACCAGTGGATTTAGGACGGACAGGATAGATACCTAGGTAGGCGGGTAGACTAGAGGAGACGACGATAACGAAAATAATATGAGAGACAAGAGGCAGATAACAAGGTTTTACCTACCTAAGCTAAAAACTAACGGTGGTGAGTGACGACACCTCAATCACACGCTTTCTCTTTCTCGTCTCTCCGTGCGTGTTTGCTAGGCGCGAAAGGATGGGAAGGGCGGTAAGTAGGTAAGGAAGAGGCACTTGTCTTTTTGGCGAGCTGGCCCGGTCCTGTTTGGGCTGCGGGCTAAGAGACTCTCTGGCTGGAACTTTGGCTCTGGGGGGGGGAGCTGAGTGATGGGATTGAAGGTCTGGGTAGGTCAAGAAATTTTCTGACTGCTGGCACCACCTTCCATCCGAGAGAAGCAAGGAACGGACAGTACTACTTAGCCCACCTGCGCTAACCCTAGATAGGTTTAGAGGGGAAACGATGAGAAATCATGCGTCGATGCGCGATTAGAATTATTTAGGCTGTTAGGGTGGTCAGGGAAGAGGGAGAGAAAAAAAAATAAAAATAAAAAGGAGGCGGCTTAGTGGTGAAAGGAAACGCAGGAGCTGTGTGGCCTGCGAGAAAGAATGGTACATAGGTGATTGGCTCAAGAGTCGCAGCTTAACGTTCCACTCCGTTACTCCGTGAGGTCACACCATTGGTGGGATAACAAAGGACCCAATAGATAAAACGAGATGTACTTACAAGATGTACCTAAGCCTGCGAGGATGATAAATCGGTAACCCGAATATTACCCGGCAGGTTAAGGCCGAAACAACTGTCATTTTTCAGTTGCTTTGACGAAATTGCTTTAGGAACACGACATATCTAACATAAAAAAAAAAAATTTTAAAAAAAAAAAAAAAAAAAAAAGGGCTTACCTACCAAAATTGCGAAACCGACAACTATTCGATCTAACAGAATGGCAATGTAAGAGACAGAGAAAGAAAAAAAAAAAAAAGAGAAAAAAAACCTTTGCTGCCCAGGACGAGAAATCGGCACCGTTTCTCTGCAGATGAATGAGGAGCGACCAATTATCAGGCACAGAATATAATCATAGGACTAGATCGTCTATATCGAAAATGCGCTGACTTCTATCCGGTAGAAGCCTCACTCTTGCCGCCAACTCCTGGTATCCAAGGGAGGCCTTTCGTTTTCTTGTTGTCGAGCACACGGAAAGTTCTCAGTACAGATCGTGTCCGTAGAGATCCCGCCTCATCTTTCGAGTATCCGATCAGACTACTCCCCCGCACCATAAGTTTGTTTCAACTTCATCATGCTCTCTGGATATCCCTTGGCATTAAGCTGGGAAACTGGGGTAGCTGTTCATTTTGTAATGATAGGTGGCCTCGTAGGAAGTAAGTGTTAGGTCCAATAATCCCAGATTCAATGGTTTTCACGGGAGTGGTCGACAGTTTCAGCTTCAACAGACGAGGCAACGAAAGCCAGTTTGGCAAGGTTACACTTCTGTTAGACTTGACAACTGACCGATATGATATCCCAATCTCGAAGCTCGAATTTCCATGGCAGCTCAAAGTCTTCGTTAGGTAGGCACCTATATTGGTTGAGACATGTCAGTTCAGTATCCCGACAGTCCCAGCCAGCCTCGAATGTCTCCAAAATTATCAAGCGTGCCATGGGTGACCTTTGTACTCAGGGCTTCCTATCATAAAGGAAGCGGACACTCAAACGTGGCTGTCGGCCTGAAATGCTGATGCTAAACAGGTACATATGCATACGGTATAGTATATATACTGCATAGTATATGCATGCTGACATCCGACTCTGCAGATGCATGTATAAATGTAATGTACCTCGGAGTGTACATAGAACCAATAGGAATTTCCCAGCAATCCAATGCTATGGACTGCAAGGATGAACAACAAATGTGGCGGTCCTCATGTGCCGGTCAAACGACGAAAGTACTTTTCCGGTAGGTAAATGTACGCGAGGGCATCGGCCTGTAATTTTGCCTGCCGATCACGAGGACTTCTCTTTCAAGCCCCTCTTCATCCCTATCACTCATTCTGAAGAGCCGGCATCTTCCAACAATTGGCTGTTGCTAATAGTTTCGGGTGCTTCGTGTTACAAGTGACAGACCTCGAAACGGAAATGCGTATGCCGTACGGTAGACGTAGGTAGTGTCATTTTGACTCGGACCTACTCACTCGTGACAGTATTGATGAGTCGTCGAAAATCAACTCCAAGCGAATAATTTGGGAGATTGGTAGGAACTTAGACAAGGAGAAAACATCATTGATTTATACGAATCTCCATCAAGTTCCATAAAGCCGAATTGAGGTGGTCGTCGCTGAATGTCTGATGAACTGATGAACTGATCCCTGTAATCATGGGCAATTATGGCGGAGACTAACCATCCCGGTCGAAATTCCATTGTTGGTTGTGGGCCGTTTTGCGCGACGTTGGTGCCCATACGTACGCTGTACACTCCAGTTCTCGACCAGTTTTCCTCGGATGGGATCGAGTAGACGATAGAAGCAAGCTTCGTGAGCCTAGCTCTTCAGTTATATAGAATAGAGCTAGATTTTACTGTATCGCTGACGCTGAGGATTTCTTCCGGTTAAGAAACCCACCCCTCCGCAGTACGCACGTACAATATACTCAATCCGCCCCGATACCGTTTTAGGTAGGGTAAATCCATGTAAGTGGGAAGCAAGCTTGTCGTTCAGGACAGAACAATGACAACTGCACGGCTTAGAGAGACGACACGCAGGACAAAAAGAAGATTCGGGAGAGAAGGTATGTGTGAGTAGGAAAGAAGAGCGATGGGAGAATCCGGAGAAGACAGAAGATAAACGGTCACAAGGGAACGAGCAAGGGTGGCAGATGGGCCTTCTGAGTACGGTAGGGCGAGAGGGAAAACGGAGAGCCTGTGGGAAAATCGGTTACAATACCTGCTTCTTCCATGTACCGTCCCGCGATCATTATTATTATTATTATTACTATATTACTTACACGCTTTTCCAATCGAGTTGTCGAACTCAGCTAGATAATTGACACTTCCCAGTCTAGTCAGCTGGTTTTCTTATACTGCTCTTTTTGTTTGGAGCTTTTCATCGCTAGATGCCATGTTTTGAGCTTCTCTGCTAGTGTGCCCAATTTGCCAACGAGAATACCATGTAGATGCGCTTTGTGAAAGCTTAAGAGGCGGCCAAATCCGTCAAACTCCCCCCGACGAGTCGTCTTTAATTTTCCCCACCGAACGCAAGCTTCGCTCGTAATGCTGCTCTATTAGCCAAAGGCCTGTTAAATCTTGAACCAAATCTCAGCCACATTCTGCAAGTCATCCCACGGACCATAGAATATTAAAAGTTTGTTCCAGACCGCTCAAGCGGTGTTCATCTTGTCACTTCTTCGTATCTCCAACGGCAGACTTATTATCGTCGTCGAGAATCTAGAGGATCTTACCCCCACAAAGAGCCTACGAATAACCTAACCTAGACAAAGGCAGGCTACCACTAGGCTAGAGATATGGCGGCATTAGAAACAGAGGGGTCCGAGAGATCAGGGGTTCATAAAGTTCTTGCAGCACACTAGCCCTAATGAAGGAGAGAGGACGAGCACGGTCATCGATGAATAACATCTAGGTAACCTGCACATGCGAACACACATTGCTGCTTAATTATAGTCATAGTTATAGGCATAAGTAATACTCATTTTCTACTTCAACTTATTATTCTAGAGTTCTATACAGACTGCTGGAGCTGTGAAAGCCTCGGCAATGGGGCAAAACGCCGCAATGCAAGGGATGGACGATTCCTTTGTGCTTGTCAAGTAGAAGGAGGTTAATATTTGAGGTTAGCAAACACATTCATAAACCAGGTAACTAGGCCTTATTTCCTTCTTCCTTTCATTAGAGCACAGGTTTCATTATATAGTTCTCATTATGAAGCTAGTCGTCGGTGGCTCAACTGGCTTTGTGGTGGGGGGGACTTATCCGTCAAGCTCTCTTATGTCCAGCTATCACGTCTATTGTTGCCCTCGGCCGGCGCGAGAGCCTAGCTCTACGGAGCTAAGGCTTGTTATTTGCGATAACTTCGAAAGTTACGCCGATAGCGTCAAACGCGAGCTAGAGGATACGGACGCTTGTATCTGGTACACACCTATGACCCATGCTTTTGTTACCTTGCACGTTTCCGAGCATCTTTTCTATCACGTTTAGTGAGTTGATTTCGACCAGGACCATCGCCGTGACACCGTCTAAACTTAAGACGGTCCCTTTCGAAGACGCCTGCGGGATCTCCCTCGACTATGCGGTAACAGCGATCCGGGCTCTCGCGGATCTACGTCACAACCAAGACTGGCCGCTCCGTTTCATCTACATCAGCGGTCATTTTGCCCCGCGCAGCCCGGCAGAGATGCCGAAACAGCTCGCTGATAATGGTCTAACCTTAATCAACTACGGTCTAATGCGAGGACGTATGGATACGATGCTATTTATCAACTTCCACTCCGCATTCCAATGAAGCCACTTCATCGCGCCCCCACAGGGTGAAGCCGAGGTATGGTGGACCATTAGTGCAACTGTGCCAAAATCAATAAAATAGGTTGGAATTTTCCAAAAAGGATAATATAGCAAAGAACGCTAAATATACAATACACTATGCGGGATATATATAAGGTAAAATCCGGGCTATTTTTTTTATTAAAACTTAAATTTAACCAATTAAATTAAATTATTAATTTAACGTTTAATTACTTTATATATATATATATATATATATATATATATATATAATATATTTAAATAATTTTATAAAAATAATAATTTAAACGTTATAATTAATGTAAAAATAATGGATTAAAATGTATGTTTATACGATATATATTAAATATTATATTATTATTAAAATATTTAAAATTTGTTTAAAATAATTTTATTAAAATATTTTTAAAAAATATTACGTGTTTGTTTTTTTAAATAAATAAACATTATTTAATTTTATTATAATATAATAATTAAAAAATTAATTTAAATGTAATTTAAATTATTATTTTTACATTAATTAAAACTTTAAAATAATATTAATTATAACGTTTAAATTATTATTTTTATAAAATTATTTAAATATATTATATATGTATATAAAATAATTAAAAAGTTTAAAATTAAAATAATTAAAAGTTAAATTTAATTGGTTAATTTTTTAAACTTTTTAAAAAAGTGGTTTATATAATTACATTTATAACTTTTTTAATATTTTTACCAATATTAAATTAAATAATATATAATTTAAATTATAATTTTTATTATTTATTAATTAAAATTTTAATATTTTTTAAAAAAAATTTAAATAAATATTAATAAAGTTATTATATTATTAAGTTTAAAAAAAATATATATTATTTTATAAATTATATATATAAAGCAAATAATCGAGTTTATATTATATTTTTAACGTTATTATTATTTTATTAAATATAATGTTACCAATTTTTTTGATTTTAACACAGTTGTATTAATGGTTTATTATACGAGGCACGGATTTTTGCATACGCGGAACAGTTTAAAAGTTTCGTACAATCTTATTATAATGGACGGTTAAAACATTTGTGTTAAAATTAAAAAAATGGGTTAAAGCTTTTTAAAAAAAGTAATATAACAAGTGTATAATATATTATGCGGGGTATATATAAAGTAAAATATAAAAGATTAATTTAATTTTTAATTATTTTATATATATAATACATTTAAATAACTTTATAATAATAACAATTTAAACATTATAATTAATATTATTTTATAATTTTAATTAATGCGAAAATAATAAATTAAATTACATGTTTATACGATGTATATTAAATATTATATAAGTTATTATTAAAATATTTAAAATTTGTTTAAAATGATTTTATTAAAATGTTTTTAAAAAGTATTACGTGTTTATTTTTCCAAATAAACGCGATTTAATTTTATTATAATATAATAATTAAAAAGCCGATTTAAATGTAATTTAAATTATTATTTTTACATTAATTAAAATTATAAAATAATACCAATTATAATGTTTAAATTATTGTTTTTATAAAATTATTTAAATGTATTATATGTATAAAATAATTAAAAATTAAATTAATAATAAAATTTTTAATTTAATTAATTTAATTTAAATTTTAAAATGTTTATTTTTTAAATTTTTAAAAAAAATGGCTTATATAATTACGTTTATAACTTTTTTAATATTTTTACTAATATTAAATTAAATTATATATAACTTATATTATAATTTTTGTTATTTATTAATTAAAATATTAATGTTTTTTAAAAAGAATTTAAATGAATATTTGTAAAGTTATTGTATTATTAGATTCAAAAGGGGGTATGTGTTACCTTGTAAATTGTGTATATAAGACAAATAATCGAGTCTATACTATACCCTTAGCGTTACTATTACCGTATTAAACATAGTGCCACCGACTTTTTCGATTTTGGCACAAATGTCCTAACCGTCCACCATACCTGTGTCACTAAGCCCGGGCTTATTGAAGCTCCGGGCAGGGAGAGGCGGATAATCCCTGGGCTCCCAATCATCAACTTGCGCGAATTCGCAGCGGCACTAGATCAAGTTGACAATGGACTCGAGAAGGATACGCTGCTAAACGATGATATGGTCCGGATTGGGCAACGAGCTTTGGGCGGATGAAGAAAAAAAAAAGCTCGACGCTATATGCCCACGGACCTATCCGATCGATTCAAAATTGTTGTTCTGTATCTGTCGTGCTAATACCTGGCTAGATACTATGTCCTATAACACAGTCTGCGATTCTGTATAGACCTCATGTAATTATTGTCGCATGTTATCTATATATACTGAGAGGAAATTGATGTAGTTAGCTAATATTTTTCCTCATTCACAAGAACACTATCACACCAGATATATCCTTCTTTGAACATATCTTGCAATAACTTCTTAGACTATCAGATCTTAAATCTTACCATCGGAAACTACAGTCTTGGTGACTAACCAACTAACAAAATGTGGTCTACAAACATCTTTGTGTCGGCTATCTCATTGGTAGCCGCTGTGTGTCATGGCCATACTCAAATCGCCGAACGCCACGGAAGCGTACCAAGTGGCTATTCGCTATCCAACCTCACTTGGGTTGGCAAAGCTTTCAAACACGGCTCTGATATTTCTATCACCGGTTCTAGCATGCGGAATATCGAAGCGCAAATTCGTGAAGTTAACCCCAATTTCTCGTGGGACGACCAAGACAACGTCGATTCCGCAGTTTCATTCCGGAATAGCAAAACACATTTGACGTGCGATCCAAATAACATCTGGTGGGCTCAAGTTTTTAGGATCGAGGAGGGGATAGACTACCTAAAAGGCATCAAGGGGAGATGCCACATGGTCCCTGGTCCTCGGGTGTGCACTCGCGTGAGTTGCAGTTATAAGTCGGCAATTTGGTGGTGCAATGATAACGACCATGATATCTATATCGACTGCTCGCTCTGGAGCCAGTACGCTCAAGATATCGTGGATGCTTGCCAGACGCACGATGCGAGCGCCCGTGTGAGGGGCCAAAAGTTTCATAACGAGCAGAACTGGAATGTGATGGTAGGGTTCGACAATGACCATTGTTAGAGGGTGTAGCTTGAGCGGAGTATTCGACTTCTAAAATAGTCGCCTTCGAATCTCCCAATACGCCTACCATTAGTAGATCATAACATTAGCCGTATTTCGCGCCGCTGCTTTAAGTAAGTACTTAGGTAGGTAGTAAGTATTTGTACAATAACTTTATATCTTAGTATCTACTTATGAACTGTGCAAGTTGAAAGTGTATGTGTCATGAGGTGGAACTAAACAGCATGGAAACAACGAAGTTGTTCTGCGAAGAACTTTAACCTGACTATGGGAGCCTGTGGCTATACGTATTAAACATGTCCTTTGTCTTAGATGTCTCATCTAGAATCCTGATAATATGTGATCGTAGTAATAAGACTAACTTAATGTCTAGGTATCTAGGCGCTTAAAACAATACTTGTACGATGCGCGAGGAGAGCAAGATGTGCTTTTTTCTATCAGAAGTCCATGATCGCGAAGGTTCTTGACAAGTTGTCTTACTAGTACAATTACAAATTACCTAACAAAACCAATTAGAGTCCCTAATTGTCTTCCGACTACTCAACCCAATATTCTTTCCAGTTATGCATAGGGATAGCCCCCTCTCTATTTTATTCCTCAATTCTATCTAGGGCACCCTTATCCCCTGATTCCAAGGCCGATGAGGTTTTATGCTGCACCCTGTCAATTTGGCTTTGAAGCTTTTGGTGCCTTGATTGTTCTTTCTCCTTCGACTCTGCGGCCATAATCATTTCCATGATTTCACGTCCCTGTTCTCTGTCGGCGCCCCTAGTAACGTGGAGACCCCACGCCTTCAAGAACGTAGCTTCGCCCCTGTAGTTTTGATGCAGCCATAGTACCTGTTCCGCTGTGAATCTCATCACACTCTCTTGGTTTCCTGCATCTAAGCTTAACGGATTTATAGACGTGGTATCCTCATTCCTATCCTCGTTCGTAGTCAGCTGGGGCTTCATAGTCGGTCGCTCTTTTCTCTCGGAATTTTCTTCAGTTGACGTCCTCTTTCTAACCACAGGAACTGAGGAGGAGGATCTTTCGGATAGCGAGAGCTTTTGGTTACCCTTTATACTCGCTGGAGGACTCTCTGTTGGTGGTCGCGTTGGTCGAGAACTCCTTTGCTTTGCCTTATCTGCTTCCCTCTGTCGTTTATTTTTGCAATCTAGTGGTCTAGCCGGCAGCGGCTTCCATTGGGCAGGATTTCGAATGTCAGCCGCAGATTGGGTACGGCGGATAGTATGAGCTGATATTTCGGCGAATTCGCCATTGCTGTTTCTTTGAAGGTCTTCCGCGGACGAGGATGTGGGTGGGGCTACGGAGGAGTAAGGGGGTAGGCTGGGGGAACGGAGAGTACCAGCTGGTTTTGACGGTGGCAGGGGAAACATGAACTCTAGAGAACCACTAGAAGGCAAAATTTGCCTCGTAGTTCTCATTGGGCTGGACTGTTTCTCGGGTGGAAGCTTAAATGGCTCTTGGTTTAGTTGTGGCCATTCTATCCGCTCATTGCGAGTTAGCGTGTTTACTACATTCCTGCATGTTGATTAGAAAGAAGCACTAACTGATATCATTCGTAGATGTTGGTATGGGGCTATCTTTTTTAAGTAGTTGTTCAACTGACGTATGCATCTTCGCATTCGAGATGTCGAGGTTCCGCAACTGAGACTTGGTTGAACGTATATTTGGCATTTTGTGATCAATAGAAAGATATGACGAAAGATGCCGGGTATTACTCAAGAAAGTAAAGGAGTATACTTATTGGCCCCTGAAAGAAGTGAACGGGCAGTTGGAAGGGATCCTTTTCCTTGCTACGTAGACAATATGAAGAAGAGCGCTGAGATAATTATTCAATATTCCGATTACCCTTTATCATACGATGCTAGGGTAGTAACTTAACCCGTATATGAAGACATATTTGATTACTGACTAGTCAAAGGCAGATCAATATATATCAAACTGCTCTAATATTATTGACCATCTTACACGCAAGGCCTGTGCGGCATCTAGATGCTGCTCCTCGAGTATTGCACAATCTCCGTGGGTTTAAAAGACGTTTGAAATAGGATTTACAAGGACTAGGGTGTTACCGACTGGATGGGAAGGACAAGGTGTGCCCTGTTTCCTTGGGGCCCCCTTTATCCCAAGAGATGTGATCTGAGGAAAATAAACAACTCCGTTTAGGACCCTTAATATGTTTTATATTTCCAGCGGTATTTTATGTGTCATCTTCATGCAAGCCCCGACGTATCTTTTGGGCCATCTATAACTAGGTTTCTCACAATACATTCGGTTCTTTAAGGAAGTATGGGATAGGGCACTACTATGGAGTAAGTAACTGGAAGAACTTCGTAAGGGAGTTAGAAGAAGGCAGTAAGATGGGTGATTTCGATCTCCTTGAACCAGTACGTGTAACTACGTTGTCTACTATGGTTACTAAATACTCTCTCGCACATCAGCGACTACCTAGGTATTTAAGCAGTTCCTTTCATCAAACTAGCTGAAACTCCTGTGCTTCATTCAAATCATCCAAATCAATCTTCTAGGTTGCGGTGGGCTTTTGATAGATATCATTTCATAAAGGTCCACACCTTAGATCCAATAGGCATAGTAACTTTCGCCTGGATACATCCGCGACCCAAACACTCATAAAGTTAAATGTCCGAAGTTGACGATCAAGCTCAGACTTACTCGGAGTTTAGACTCGGAGGTTAGGTAGGCTGGAAACTACCAATCGGATGCCGCCGTTAGTGCCGAAATTTCCAAAACAGGTAAAATGCCGATGTAAGCTCAAGCGGCTCATGTCATCTTCCAGGGAATGGGGAGTTATCGGACAATACGGACAATGCGAACATATGCTCCTCATCAGTTCAAGTTCAAGTCCGACTCTGTACTATGGAAGTTGGTAACCGGGTACCTCCTTTTCCTCCGCTGATAATGAAATAAAAGGTTCCATTTAGGCCGAACGATAAGATGAAAACACACTGAACACTGATCTTATACACGAAGGTCTCGTCACTCTTTTCGCAGTATCCTGATAGTGTTAGTATTTGAATTTGATTAGTTCACTTGATTTGAACGTTCTGTCTATATCTCACTGTGTTCCGTCAATCACGAAGCCGATAAATTAACCTATTAAGGGATGAATAAAAAGTGTAATTGCTTAATCTCAAACAAGTTCTTGACTACTCGATAGTTAGAGCCTTAATCGAAGCTCAGGTCTTCACAGTGTAGACTAAGACTGCTTAAAATGCCAAGCTAGCGGAATTAACCACCTAGGTCTAGGTACTTATAGGTACCTAATCTAAGTTAACTCAACCGGATATCATATAGGTAAATACGGGCGATTTTATTCGGCTTCCACAACCAACTTTTTTGATGAGACTCCCTTCTTAAAGATATCTAATGCACCCTGGATGCCGTCAAGGCCCTTCCTCGAAACTACCTCCGGTGCTGGGGCAACCTTGTATACCCCTTTATGTAACGCATCCCGAAAGTATCCGCCGAAAGTGACGGGGCGCGTCTCTGCAAAAGGGTCATCGCCCCCGGTACCAAAGGTGAACTTGGCTGTGACACCCTCTGGGACGTCTTCAGGTACTACGGGGTTGGTAGAAGCGACAAATGGCTTCTGCTTGGACTTATACGCGACTTGGCAGGCTTCGGCGACGTTTCCGGCAGCCATGTATATTCCGACGCACGCACCCTTATCGAGCTCGGCGGCAACATCATCGACGATAGTGGGGCTATTACGATCGAAGACTTTGTCGGCTCCGAGGCTTTTCACATAGTCGAAGTTGCGAGCGGAGCAGGTGGTGATTACTCGGAAACCCGCGCCTTTGGCTAACTGGATACCATTGCTGCCACAGGCTGAGCTTCCCCCCCAGACCAAGAGTGATTTATCAGTGGAAGCAGAACTTAGAGTCGGGAAAGGTAAACCAAGATAGTCTTTGCTGAAGAGCGAGAAAGAACAGGTAGTGAGGCACAGAGGAAAGACGGCAACTTGGGCGTAGGATAACGAGTCTGGAATCTTTGCAGTGACTCTTTGATCGAGTATCACATAGTCCTGGAAGCCGTTATTTACGGTAAAGCCAAAAACGCGATCCCCGACCTTGAAATCAGCCGCGACACCAGAACCAACGGCTTCGACAGTGCCAGAAACATCCTGACCAAGAATGATAGGGTACTTGAAGAAAGGCAACGCCTTGTCCTGGATGATGGCGTCGCAAGGATTGATAGCCCAAGCGCGGACTTTAATTAGAAGCTGATGTTCCTCGAGTTTAGAAGGAATCGGGCTTTCGCGGATGACCCCTGGCACGCCGGGCTTGTCCTGCCAGAGTGAGCGGTTCGTAGCGGGCATCTTTGCAACTATAATCGCCTTGCAAATGTTGAGAGTCGATATTGTAGATGTAAATAGGAGTTGGAGCCAGTGGGCTTAGGAGAAGATAGAAGTCGGATACTAGGGAAAGATTAATCTAAGGTGTAATGAATAGGAGCTTCGGGGCTTCTAAGGCTTCTATAGTACGAAGCTGAATATATATTATACTACGACTTGATAGATGATACATCGAACTCGATAACAAAGAGAGTAGTAAATAGAGAAGATACGGAGATTGCGGGCGGACTTTAGTGCGTAATTACGCTATACTAATGTGACTTGCCTACCTACCTAGTTGCCTATGTATGTAGAGTGTAACAGTGTGTTTATTATTATTTTATATTCCTTTTCAGTTATACTAACTTTCGAGTAATATACCTATTTTCTTATATCAGGCGAAACACTGGCTCTATTCCGACATTCCTGTCGCCCCTTATGCCATTGTTGTGTTAAGCGTTTATAAGTGTACTCTGCAACTCTAGGTAGTCTGCACGCACATTGGGCGTTAACGAATTCATCATTTGGAGTGTCATAAGTGATTCCGGTGTAATTATCTCTCTTTACGTAGCTGAGAATAATTATAATAACTCATCAAACTTGCTACAAGAAATAATTTCATTACTAGGTGGTCATAGAGGAGAGAGTACCTATGCTACGAGAATATGCTGATTAAGATACCTAATATCCTCGGAGAAAGGGGGTGGCTAGTTCTGTGGCATATGCTTGTGGCGCTGTAAACTTAATTACGTTCTTTAGGTACCTAATATCTATCCCCGTCGATCTTCTCTATAGGTTAGGTACCTAGCACTTTACTCCTATACCATCATGGACTTTTACTATCGCTCTTTGTATCACATCTACGGGAGTGGTATCAAGAGCGTAGGTTGATCCTTCATCTAAACAGTTTTCGCATACCTTAGGTACCTAGGTAGGTGCGAATAAACAAATTGAAATGACTCAATCTTAGAAAACCTTGAAGCTTAAAGCAGTTGCGTAATACTTGGAAAGAAGCTCCATTCTGACATGGTTATGAGTAAAGAGGAAGAAATTACCCAAGGTAGTTGCATAGGTATGTACCTAATATAAGAGAATAAGAGAAGGTGTTAGTTGTTAAATGGAAGTTACTGCGGTTGTTGTAGTTACTGTAGTTGCTCAAGTTGTTGCAGTTGCTAGTTGCTGCAGTTGCTAGAGTAATATTAAAGATACTACATACCTAGGTACATAGTATTGTCGTACTTTCCTTACGTATAATCACATTAGCAAACATGCGCAATGGGCAATATACTTACACACCGCCCTCTACTTCTTTTTCCAAGACTATATAAACATGGCCCCTCCCACCAGGTTTCCAAAAAATCTAATACCAACACTTCATCATCATCATCATCATCATCATCATCACACTAAGTCTTCAATACTAGGTCTTCGGTACAATACTGCCTAACTACCTACATATACCTAACTACCTACATATACCTAAATACTACTACTACTATACCTACCTCATAGAAAGTGGTTCAATCCGAGAAAAGTGGTCGACATACTGGTAAGATTCAATCCCTACGGCCAACCAAGCAGCGGTCTGCCATATCGCGAGGCGATGGCAGGTCTAGCAAAAGTATACTCAATGGGATCGCAAGGGAACTGGGACCCAAAGCAATGCGAAGGAAAGGTACCTTATCACTACTACGCATCAGTACCTAACAGGGCTGGCCACGGTTACAAAGCTAGTTATAGGATTAGCCACGATATTTAGTCTGTCGTTGCGGGTGTACGTTGCGCTAAAGCAACATGCGATCAAGCTATTCTTCGTGCGCCTACCACTATTACCATCATTAACACTAAATTCGATAAGACGAAATTCCTTAAAGCCTTCTCGGTCGGAAGTTCATGGTACGTTTCAATCCCATTGCTGTTTTATGCGTGTTTATATTGACAATATATGCTAGGTCGTCACTAAGAAATATGATGGACATGTATCGAGAGATCAACATTGATCCGATTACCGAAATGGCCAATGCTGCCGGTTCTGTCCTTGGCCAGTTCAATCGAGCTTGGTTCTGGCCTACCTCCGAAGAAGTCTTTGATGTCGATAAAGCTACTGAAAGACTTAACCATGGTGGTTCCCACCTCGCCAGCATGCCTCTCACCTCGGATATGATGGCATCTCTACTTCGAGCCGTGTGGGTTTAAAATTTACGGTAGGTAACTATTACTTTACATCATTATTACTATACATGTCAACATTATTATACATGATAACACCTTGTACATACCACATTATAACATCACAACTAGTCTAATACTCCCAAGGTAAGTGAATACGATCATCTAGCATCTGATTGAATGGTTTACCTCATCTTTACTTGTCAGTTTATTCATTTATTGGAGCTTGAAGCTGACGTGTGATTTCTACAAGACCACGAGACCACGAGACCACAATGGCTGACCTATCTCGAAAGTCAGCCAGATGAGGCGATCTTCTCGCCTCGAATCTGCAGCATCACTACCACAGTCGAATCCATCCTCGAAAAGCCTAACGACAAAATCATGATTGTCTCGAATTATATCATGGCACGGATTAAATATTACTGGAGCAAACCAGTGAACACTTTAGTCTCCGGGCCAAGAGAAACAGATCAAAGGTCGAATTTATCGTATAGGTCAGGGAAAGGTACGAGTCTCTACCGGAGAAAAGACGTAACCCTCCGGTGGCTATGGGCTGTATAAAAACGCCCGACCTCGTCGCATCTCACATATTCATGAGACATCCCAAGTTTCCTTATCAGACAAAGCTACTCGCGTTCATAAGTATCCTGGAGCATAGTTTAGGGCCTCAGCTTTTTAGAAGCTAGTTCCGAGATGACGACGAGGTCGACGAGGCACTGTATAGGTCAGGGAAAACCAGTGACGATTTACCTGTATGCCCAAGATTCCCGGATTGACACAGTTATCAGATCGGCCAACGGTGAAAAATCTGTCAAACCCAAATGGTAGATAAAACATTAGGAGGATACTAGGAGCTTTAGGAGGTTTAGAGCTAGTGTATGGTACATCGGCAAACTATTCACAGACGCAAGGGACAGCATGATTCGGAATACTCGCGACGGAGGACGGATTGTAATTAGCAGGCATTCTCATTACTGATAGGTTTTTGATTTCTCATTCATTGCACAGCAGCGTATTGCATGTACGTTGGTAGAAAGGACTCGTGATACCAACACTTCTGTCAGGATTCCAGATGAGACATTTAGAACAAAGGACATGTTCAGTATGTATAGGTACCTACCTAAGTTACAGACTTCCTTACGGAACAACGAAGTTATTTCCATGCTGTTTGGTTCCACCTCATGAAAACCTCTTCATCACCATCACACTTGGTCTTCAATACTGAGTCTTGCACGCATACCTATTGTTACTATGCATCATCATTACTATACACCCTATACATACCACACTATAACATCACAACTAATCCAATACACCTTAAGGTATTAAATTACCGATGTTATAACCATGACAAAGAAGGCGCATCGTGGATATCTACAACTCGAACGCGCATCGCTGCACCACAACAACAAAACATTACTAAACAACACTTTTTCCCACTTTCGCGTGGTGAGAAAAGAACCCGAGGGACGTCGAATAGTCGTGACAATGAGGAAACTTATAACGAGCTAAATGATGTAGGCACAGTGTTTAGGACTCTAGGTACCTACATAAGTAGATAAGACATCTAGAGCAAAGAATACTTTTTAGTACCTTATGTATAGGTATCTACAGGCTCCCATAGTTACCTAGGTAGCTTAGAGTTCCTCGAGGAATAATAAAGTTGTTCCCATGTTTCTTACTCCAACGGGTGACAGGTAGTTCGACCGACAGTAGAAGATGTCAGCCCTCACTGCCCTCACGGTCGAACAATACAACAAAACAAGGACTCTTGTAAGTAATGCAAGAACCGAAAGTCGCGTAGACTGTGGACCGTATGCTAATTCTCGAGATTGTATATTGTATATTGTAAGAGGAAGCTACCTAAGAGGGAGTTGCTAGGCACCTATGAAAGTATTTAAACCCCCCGAGGGAGCTACCCCTATATTAGTACTCCTATACAATACAATATCCTTTACGCCTAAGCATCTCATCATCTCTGTGAACTGATCGAATTACTCAGTAGCTTATGGGTATTATTCCTTGCAGCTGCCTAAAGACAACATCTTACTACTTCTTTTTCTATAATTCGGATCCATTCCACAACGTATTCGGAAGGTGTTTTTGATGCAGAGCAAGGTGTACATGAATTATTAGCAAATATTCGTGCAACTAGGTACCTACGAATCTGCGAACGCTCATCTCCAAATTTTGCGTACATCATCCCTACCATTCTTCCGAATCCCACTCATGATCATTCTCTGTATAATCACCCCACGACACGTCTTGCTGCTGCTGTGAAAGTCGCCGGGTGGTTCGGCAAAGGTCCCTTCCGGGGAAGTGTCCTGGGTTGTTGCAGTCGGTGCAGTAGACTTCCGGGCTCTCGGTGCAGTTTACCTGAAGATGGTCCCCTCCGCAGCGGGAGCAGGCCTTGGCTGGTTCAAGGTTATCGCAGTCTATAAGGAGATGTCCTAGCTCGCCGCACTGTAGGCACCTGACCTCGAGGCACGACGACATGAGGTGGTCAATCTCAAAGCACCTGCTACACCTCACCCTTTCGTCGCAATGTCTACCTTCGTGGCCCCAACCAAGGCAGCGGTCGCAGAAGACTATCTTCAAGACGCAGCGTTCGTTCTCGAGATGGCTATACATCTTGTGAATATTCTTCGTTAGCGAATTCCTGGCGCTGTTTTTCTGACTTGCGAAACTTGATTGGTTCATCAGTATGATCTCCCCTTGAATACTGCGTGTATGCGCAGTCGCGTTGAGATGTCTGTCTCCGGTAAAGCCTGGGCGTTCGGTACGCGTGTAATCGATTATCACCAGGTCTGCTCCTTCGCCGTGGAAGCGGTCTACTGTGCCAACGCGGACTCTCTTGGCTATAATCTCAGCAGTGACGTAAAGGCGAGACTCTAGCACTTCTCGACGACGGAGAACGAGATCTATCTCGGCGGCTTGGGCCTTGTAGTAAGATATAACGGCGATGGTTCCGGGTCGTTTGCCGTCTACCGATGTAAAGGCAGGGTTGTTAAGGAATAGTTCGAGAATTTTGAGTACATAATAGATATGATAGTCGTTCTTGAATGACGTGTCTACACTCTGCTCGTTAGAGTTGGTAACGTCGACGATGACACGGACGCTCTTGCGGAGGCCGGTTAACTCGGCGATCATGCTTTGAACGACTTCGACAGGCGGTGGGAAATGACCCTCGACGCCGGACTTCATCAGACTTTCGTAAAACCAGTCACTTGGGTTCTTCTGCAAGTCTCCGTGTTGACGGTGGTTATAGAGCAGTCCGGGGAGAGCGGCGCCGCCGCGCTTGATCCTGTCCAAGCACGATAGGCCGATTTGCTTGTCGAAAGCTTGGGGCGCGTCCGAACGGTAGTTCGTTGCCGGGAGAAGCTGCTGAGGGTCGCCGAGTAGCATGAATAGTTTTGCTGAGGGGAATGAGGAGATGGCCATGATCGTCGTCAGCTCTCTCGTGCGCGTATTCTCGTCCATGATGACTAGGGTCGGATGAAATTCCCGTCTGAAAAGGATACCGCGGGCAGTATGGGGAGTGGCCAGGACGATATCGGCTTCTCGCAGCTTGGCCTTGTAGATACTATTGACTGGCTCGTCAACACGTCTGTCCGAGGGATTGAACAGACTGTATTCCTCTGAGCGGTTCTGGACGTATAGCAAAGTAGAATTAAAATTCTTGGAGGCTCCTCTCTTCGAGTCCTGCTCCGCAAGCTGATGGAATTCATCCAAGATTGACTTGGTGAGATGTTGGTCTATGGTATCGAGCTTGTTAGGCATCTGGCCGGAAGCTGGGTGACTCAGGGTGTCAACCGCCACTCTAATATCCGTAGACGTTGTATAGACCCTTTCTATACGGGGAAATGTATGGGGTGGTGCCCTGTACTCCTCGAGGGAGCGCCTAAAGCTTAGTTCATAATTGTCGAGAACCCGGTGCTGCTCTGCTAAGATCAAGACTTGGTTGCGGGAACCAGGGGGAGACTGCTCCGCTAGGTGCATCAGGGTGTAAAACTTGACGAAGGTTGACCTGCCAGATGCGGCTACCCCTGGAATTACTGCTAGCCCACAGGGAAGATGCTTCATATGTTCGCTAAACAACTGCTTCTTACATTCGTCAAAGTCGTCGTACATCGATTGTAAGTGGGCTGGCGCCGTACCGTCCAGAGCACGCAGCATCCCTGGAAATATGTCGAAGTGGTTGACCACAGAGTCGCGTTTGGGACTTTCTAAGCTGGGCAACCATCTGTAGATATCCAGTGCTAACGGACTAGGCGCCAGATTCCCGCGTCGTGTGGAAGCGGGGTATTGAATCTCCCCGTGAGCTTCCATCTCCTGCTCGAACGTCTTCGGGACGAGCTTAAGCGTAACATTACAGGTTCTGATTTTATCGTTCGTTAGCATCCTTTGGATGTAGTCGCCGTAGCTCTCACCCTCTGCTGCGCGCTGGAGGTTGAAGTTGGCCCTCCTCTCAAGTCCACCGCACGATTCGTACTACGGCTCGAGCGGGATCCTTGCGAGGAAGACCCTGAATCTACTGCCAAGGAGAGGGAAGATGGTGTCGGTTGCTCTGGCATTCCACGTTGCAAGCTTGCGTTCTAGAGTCTTGTCCTTGACTTGGGGCATACGAAAATAGTCCTTGTGCTTCGCGACGAATTCTCTAAGACCCGGGACGTTTACCATACGCCCAGACACCAAGAATCCTGAAAGAATTTCTTCCAGCTTGGCGCCTATCCATCCTGCATCGTTGATCACATTGCAATAATTGACAAAGTCTTCGGGATTCATTGCCCACGGCTCTTCGAGATATTCACTCGCCATTCTGCCCAGTACTTCGGGCAATTCTTTGGCTATGTCAACGTTGTATGGTAGGTTCTTGGTGCGCTCGATCCCTAGGACCCGAATTTCGCATTCCGTAGCTGAGCTTGGGAGGCAAGTAGAGCCAGGAGGTACGCGGACGACGACGGCAACTGTTGAAGGGTTGCCTAGGTCGTTGAAGCTCTCTGGCAAAACGAGTATGTGACATTGAAACTCTTGCGACGTCTTATCGCTAAGAATTTGAGCACGAGTTGCATTGTCGACGGTACCGTAGGCCTGGGCAATCTTAAACTGGCGGTCGTCGAAGAATTTTGTAATGTGTCCTATGACTGGAATAGGGGGTCTTACGACATTTCGGATGCCATTGGGGGCATATTCTTCACCTGCCTCGAGGATATTCCGGATGTTTATAAGCTCTTTCTCCGGAGAACGGGCAAACCAGCGAGCGAGCGGATCTGATACTATGCCCGAAACTAGGGAGATAGCTTTGAAGATATTGAGGTGGTTTGATCCTTTCGCGAAGTAGTTGCTGGGCTGAATTGTGACGATCTCTTGCAGAGGATCGGGAAATTGCTCTCTGGCAGCACCTCGGTCTTCGCTAACCAAGAATGTAATCTCGCGAGGAGTGTCGGTACTGATCGAATCAGCAAACTCCTGGAGCTGTTGGATTTGCTGTCTTTCTGTCTCGTCTACTAGTCGAGCCTCTTCGTAATACAAGAGTGCTCCAGAGGATCGAAATGATAGGCGAAGTGAGCCCGATGACGCTTCTAGAGGACTTTCGTAGAGATTAAAGGGGTCGAAACTTCGGTTGAGATAGGACGTGGTAGCATCCTGTGACAGTCTTGTGCAAGACACGTGCGAGATAGATTGGAAGTAAAAGTCCATCCCAGCAACCCAGGGAGTTTTCTTCTCATTCTTTCCGAGTTTAACATTGCGGTACATACTCAGTTTGATTAAGCGGTATATGGACGGATGCGCAATGAGCTTGAGTTTGAGCTCAAGTTGGTCAGTCGAGAGTTTACCGAACTTGAAGACATTGTTCGAGGTGTGTCGGCTCAGGGGGATGCCTTCGAGAATAACAAGGCATGAAAGGAGACTAGAGGGCATCGACTCTTCAAGGTCCGTTCTGTCATTATAAGTCTTGGATGCCATTGTTAGCAATATGTTACCTACAAAGTCTTAGAACGTAGGGATACTTACACCACCCGAGTCATTATGACCGGTAGAGCCTGGGTGTTGAGAGACATCCATGCTGCTTAGAGGAGGGCTGAGTAGAGAACTCCCTGAATACGATTAGCCGTCTGCAAGAGAAACAGCACCAACATTCACGAGTTCTCGGGATATCTCTATGGATATATGCGAGAGGATAGTATGGTAAAGAGAATGTTAGAGCGGACGTCTGAGATGACGAAGGCTTACCTCAAGTTCAGTTTGATTAAGTGTAGATGTGCTTAATGCCTCAGTCTACAAAGTTGTTAACGAGTGTGACTTGGTGTAGATAGGTGATGCGAGCTTACCTACCTCTAGGTACCTAACCTAGACACGCTTTCGAACTATGTCGTCGGTAAAGTAGGTAGAAATGTTGAGAGGTATGTGTTGTGTGGTGAATAAGTTGGTGGGGGATTCTTTGTAAATCTAAAGGAATAGAAGGGGATGGATAACTTGAACAGGCCCGTAAAAGTCTTTTAAGGGGACGCCTTAGGTGCTTTAGGTACTATGTAGGTATTGAAAGAATAAAAAACAACACGAGAGGTACCTCCTCGATCGTGCCAGCGGCGATTTAACCTTGTGCCCAGGAGAGTGTTAGATAGTTCCGTAGGTAAGACAGTTAGACAGTTGGCTTCTGATATCTTCACAGCTGCGCTCTCATTCAAGGGGCGGAATCTACCCTACTGTTCCGGACATGTCATTCATACACATCTTGTCCTCATCTCCATCGACTGTGTTCAGTACGTCTTAGCCCGGAATACCCTCGACATGATTCTCATATTGTCCTGCAAATCTCGTATACTACCTACAAACGGATATATCTCGCAACATTGATCCGTTTACGTAGGTACCTATATACACTTATAGACGTCAATGCCTAGGTAGTCTACGGGCATTTCCCCGATGTTCGTCTAAGATCAAGATACATGAGATCTCACATCGAGAATAATATGTATAACTACCTCCAGCTACAATCTCATTTGATTATTTTGGTTAAGGTATCAGCAAGTAGTTATAAAACCTTAGCAGAAAAGTATGAGGTGTTATCCTTCTCTATTTTCTGCATCAATATAAACTAGAAAATCTGGCCTATCGAGTTTAACCGGTTGCTCACTTCACAAAGGTCCCATCTAGAACGACTCCATGCTGAAATAAACCAACAGTATTGCTCTACTACAACGTTGTGCCTTAAGGTTACAAAGGAGTTCGACAGCTGCAGTTCTTATAATAAGGTAAATGGATCAAGGATCATAGATCAAGGTCCGTTTTATGGTTATGTACTTGTTAAGAAGGCGTTTTAAGAAGAGCTTGGACTAGCATCATGGTTTATAAATTATAGCGTCTAATCCCCAGCTTACCTATTCAACTAGTATAATCTAAGTTAGTGCTATATAGGTAGCTTATACGGTGCGAGAGGAATTAATCTGAAGTATTTACCACAACAAGTATCGTGTTCTGATCGAGATTGAGGGAAAGATATAAAAGACCAAGAATGTAAGAATACTGACACTCGTTAAGATCTGTTGCTATAAATATACGTTCAGCTGCGGCTGACGTATCATTTCCTTTAGAGTACCTAAACGAGAAGATTGGCTCGGAGTAGCCGGGAATTCCCCACCTAAGTTGAACTGCACGGTACATCTTATATCTACCTCCTTGCTAGGCAGCAGGCGGATGCCTTAATATCTTGTTGAAGATAAAACTGATCCACAAGTGTATAGGTTCATTAACTTTTGTTCAAATAGCTTCCCGAAATATTGAATCAATCATGGTACGAGGAGTCGGCCAGTTTCTGAAGTTTTCCCGGAAGAGGACGCTGGACGAAACGCCACCGCCACCGCCAGCGTCCGTGCTAATTGATCCTGCGCGCCGCAAGACGGAGCAGAGGGTACCGCTCGCTCACGAGATTCTAGACCACCCGGACTCGATTGACTCTCAGTTGCAATCCCCTCTCTTCGGAAAGCTCCCCAGAGAGCTGCGCGACCTGATTTGGCGCTTCTCTCTAACGCGATACGAAGATCTCGACCGCCTCTACGATATCCGGAAGCCCTATGCTAGGCCCGGGCAAGCTGCCCCGCTACGGGTAGCTGTCCAGCTGCTTCGAACGTGCCGGGCTGTATACGTCGAAGCCTTTCTTACGCCCTTCCAAGTCAACCCGATAATGATATTCCACGGCGACGATAACGATATTCCTCCGGGTATCCCGCTCATGCGCACGACGGAGAATCAATTTCTATGCAGGAAGCTAAGATTCTGGCAATTTGCAAATATATCATCCGTCGAGACGACACTGCAGCAGATACACTTGGAAGGTGGTGAGTTTAGTCCTGGATACCTCGATATCGTCCGTTGAAGAATGCGTACTCTAACTCAGTTGCTGACGCGAATATCAGGCGGACTCGAGCGAGTGTCTCGTCTGGTCGGAACGATAGGTCGGCACCACGGGCATGAGAGTAGAGGCTACGCGGTTACAGGTTACGCGTGTTTTGTGTCGCCTACTGAGCCTGGCAGAAGCACTAGCGCGGTCGACTCGAAGGAAGAATATAATAGCCAACTGTCATCTCTACCGAACCCACTTATCGGTAGAAAAATTACTCGTTTATCTATCCGCATGTCTCGCACCGACTGGTGGGGTTGGGAGAGTAGGCCCGAGGAGAGTGAAGTATCTCCTTCGGAGAGACTCCGTCTAGAACCTATGATCAACGTCACAGACCTCTGGAAGAGACCTGCCAACTACTTAGCCATGACGAGAGGATACGAGGCGCGGAAGGCAGGTGACGAGCCTGACTTCCAACTGGACGATTTTGAAAAGCAGGGGCGCTGGGGTTCTCAGATAAGAGAGTATTGGCCAGACCTCACAACGCTCGAGCTTGTTCTGGAGACGTTTTCGTGCAAGAAGAATCAGCTGGATCATGTCGTGCAGTGTGCTAAACTGTGGACGTTTCCAGTAGAGGACGGATTCCACCTTGTGTGGGATGGTAAAGAAGAACTAATCCGATGGCGCGGTGCCCAGTCTTACAAGTACGAGCATCGAGACTGGTTTAGGGTCCATAACGTACCTCGAGATACCGAAGCGCAGAGTTCACCAGCGATTCAATGGAGGCCCTCTCGAGGCAATGGCGGGGGTGATACCAATAGCCAGGAATTCATTATCCAGACATTGACTTTTGAGCGGAAAAGAGTTGGGGACCATGTCGACGCGGACAGAGCTTAAACGTTGTGTGAGAGTAGGGGAATTTGGGTTGAGCTCAGGGGCTGAGGTGAAATTTCTATCCAACTTTGATCGCCGGTGTCTAAAATCCAGTAGACATAATATGTCATTTATGAAGCTTTAGTGGCGTTATTCGTTTGCTACTCTTTTACGGCCTGGTGTTATTCTATGTATAGTGTTACGATACTAATACTCAGGCAATTCGACACATCTAGCCTTACTAAGTGTGCTCTCTATAGACTATAGTGTAGTGCCTAATCAGCTAAGTTAGGTGTCTACCTAGGTACCTAGGTATAAGGTGATTTCTCCAATTACCTAATCATAACTCGTACTTATGTACTACCTTAAGTGATCCACACACTGTTAGGTATACACACTTACATCGTTGATATCGGGGTATACATGACCGATCGTATATACATAGTACGTAACACAATTTATATTATTTCTACTCCAAGATGTCGCCTATTAAAATACGTAAGCAAGCCTTAATACCGAATTAAGCATGACCTCATGAAGCAACACAGCAATGATACAAAATTCAAAGACTGCCGTACCTGATCTGGCTTATTCCGCCGAGGCTGCGAGGGTAACTATCACGATATGTGTTGTATTCAGTAAGTTATTAGAGGGAAGATCTAGTGTTTATATACATGTGGGGTCCCCACATGTCATATGATATGACAGTAACCCTGCCTACCCCGCATAATTACCTAAAAAGACTGGGGCATTCCCCGCACACAGGCACATAACCTCGAGTTTCCCCAGAAGAGACACCGTCACCCGGCTGGGGAAGAGAAGCAGGCTGCATACTGGCTAAGAGAAGGGCCGATAGAGAACGAGAGACTAGAGTACGAATTGATTGTTGTCAATGAGGGAGACCTTTTGGATTGAGAGATTGGTAGGTATTCGAGTATTGTAGGGATGAAATAGAGTTGAATTACTTGTCGTCATAAGAGCTTTTTGTTCTTTTTGTTGTATGTAGAGGTGCTTCCAACTATTTGCTATATCTAAAGAGTTAAAGAAAGCAGTACAACTTGGAGATAGTGTTTAAGTTACGACACAACGGCAGAACATCTGGTATGTGGAGCAGCGCTGCAAGGGGGTGTCCAGTAGTCCCGGCACCTTGGCACCCTAAATTACAGTGCAATTTACCTGATTAACATGTATAATAGCTCAAGAATATATATAGGAGGTACAAACGACTTCATTTCATAGTGTTTTTCAATACATTTTCATAGAATAATACATCTTCTACGCGAGACTATCCGTACGCGTTTATCCTATGGTAGATGCTATAAGAGACATCAATTATGCTGAAATTATGTTGATAACTCGACTTCCCCTGAAGATCTTTCCTTGACGCTTTATATGTATTTAAAGATGTACCTACCTCATGTCTCTAATAGGAGGTAGTCAATGCGTCATCCTTCGGGGCGAGAGCTGTAGGGATTTCTCAATATGCATGGTCTTCCTTGTCTTTTAACTGCCCATTAATGCTTTGTTTAAATGTACTACTACTACCCGTTCTTGGGAAGTCTCGCCGATTGTTATGACGCCACAGGACGCGTACGGAATTTCTTAATGATCGACAGCTACATAACGTCTGTTATGTTAACGACGTCTTTTCTCGTCTAATATATAATATACGCCAGTAGTAACTCGATTTGTCTCGTCCAGTTTAGCTTCCCATCTCGAATCGAAGCCTTAGCTAGCCCTCCAAGCGGAGAACCCTGCTCTTCGTGGGTTCGCCGTAACCTTGCAGCGTGGAGAATTGTGCTGACTACCGTAGGAATCTTGAAAGTCCAATCTCTCACCTTGATTAGTCGCATGAAAATTGCTGATCAAGTGATCAGCAGCTTTACAGGGGTAGCAACAACTTTCAAAGTTATTAATAGGGAGACATATGCTCGATTTTATTGTCCTTTGGTAGTCTATTCCTCTCGGACATTACCTTGTCTTCTCATCGGATAGAACGAACTTCATACGAACGTTACTACCGTATGATAGTCGCGATGCGTTGCGCTCCGTGGATCGCCTTATTGGCGGTGACCAGGTATACAGCAGCAAATGCGGTTAGTCATCCCATCCATGCATTCTCCTGTATTTCTCTCAGGCGTCTTCGCACATTCCTCTTCATATCATCCATAGTATCGAGAAGACTGTCGTGGAGTGAATCCCCATCAATTTAGCATCGAGATCTAGATTCTTTCGCGCTAGTCGTATCGTATACGAAGCAGCTTGAATTTAAAATCTTATGTTCTCTGATGTCGTGGTCTGATCACAGTTCAGCCAAGGCTTTTTCACCATGCAGCTTCACAGATCTTTGGCGTAAATATTGCCGATTTCGCAGTTCGTAATATCTGACAATTCGCAGGTCGAAAAGCGAGATCTCGCCTACTCTGAGCCGCACTATCCTTCGCCTTGGATGAACCCTACTGCGCAAGGATGGGAAGATGCTTATGTCAAAGCTAGGGAATTTGTCTCCCAGCTTACGCTAGCAGAGAAGGTCAATTTAACAACCGGTGTCGGGTGAGTATCTGCATTCTGAGTATTCACAGAGCCGTATCGGCTGACGAAATCTAGTTGGCAAGGGGAACAATGTGTTGGCCAAGTTGGTGCTATTCCTAGACTGGGTTTTCGTAGTCTTTGTATGCAAGACTCTCCGTTGGGCATTCGTTTTGCCGACTACGTCTCAGCTTTCACGTCTGGTCAAACTGTGGCGGCTTCGTTTGACAGAGACCTCATCTACCGACGGGGCAAGGCAATGGGCGAAGAGAATAAAATTAAAGGCGTCGACGTACTTCTAGGGCCAGTAGCTGGACCTATCGGGCGAGCGCCGGTAGGCGGACGTAACTGGGAAGGATTTTCTCCCGATCCATATCTGACCGGCGTCGCAATAGCCGAGACCGTCAAGGGAATTCAAGATGCCGGCGTGATTGCTTGCGCTAAGCACTATGTCGGTAACGAGCAAGGTTAGAAGGATTAGATGACCCCTTTTGAAGTGTAATTGCTAATACAGGTGCAGAGCATTTTAGACAAGTCGGCGAGTCCCAGGACCGTGGATATAACATTTCCGACACTCTATCGTCAAACATTGACGACAAGACAATGCATGAATTGTATTTATGGCCATTCGCGGACGCGATCCGGGCCGGCGTCGGTTCTATTATGTGCGCGTACACGCAAATCAATAATTCATATTCTTGTCAAAAGTAGGTGCCAGGTGGTTGGTTGCGATTTTATTTCCCGTGCTAACGCGCTTTTCCCGTTCTATAGCTCCAAGGCCTTAAATGGCCTCCTCAAGAGCGAATTGGGATTCCAAGGATTTGTCATGTCAGACTGGCAGGCGCAGCACTCTGGCGCGGCCAGCGCCGTAGCCGGGCTTGACATGACGATGCCCGGAGACACCGTCTTCAACTCCGGATTTAGTTTCTGGGGCACTAATCTTACTCTTGCGGTGCTAAATGGAACAGTACCTCAGTACCGAATTGACGATATGGCGATGAGGATTATGGCGGCTTACTTCAAGGTCGGTAGGACATTAGACCAGACCCCAATCAACTTTGATTCGTGGACTCGGGATACCTTCGGGCCTATCCATTACGCCGCCAACGAGGGTCATCAGCAAATCAACTGGCACGTAGACGCCCAAGAAGATCACGGAGATCTTATCCGGGAGATAGCTGCCAAGTCAGCCGTGCTGCTCAAGAACAACGGTGCTCTCCCGCTAAAGAAGCCCAAGTTTCTCGCCGTCATCGGGGAGGATGCCGGTCCTAACCCGTTAGGTCCGAACGGCTGCGCTGATCGAGGCTGTGATAAAGGAACTCTCGCAATGGGATGGGGTTCGGGAACCGCCGACTTCCCTTACCTCGTCACCCCTATCGATGCGTTGCAGGTACAAGCTCTCGAAGACCGTACCCGTATCGAAGCTGTTTTGGATAATTCCGCATCGACGACGATTGAAACCTTGGTCAAGCAAGAAGGGGCTACCGCCCTAGTATTTGTCAATGCCGATTCCGGCGAAGGTTATATTAGTGTTGATGGTAATGAAGGGGATCGTCGCAACCTAACACTTTGGGGCAACGGCGATGAGCTCATTAAAAACGTTTCTTCTTTGTGCAACAACACGATAGTTGTCATACACTCGGTTGGGCCTACGCTTGTATCGGACTGGTACGATTCACCCAATGTTACGGCTATCTTATGGGCTGGTTTACCCGGTCAAGAAAGCGGCCGCTCAATTGTAGACGTACTATACGGAAAAGTCAATCCTGCTGGCCGAACCCCCTTCACGTGGGCTACGAGTCGAGAAGACTACGGTGCTGATGTTCTATATGAGCCTAACAACGGCAACGGCGCACCGCAGCAAGACTTTACCGAGGGTATATTTATCGACTATCGGGCCTTAGATCGTGCCAAGATCGATCCTATCTTCGAGTTCGGATTTGGACTGTCGTACACGACGTTCGAGTATTCGGATATCCAAGTCGAGAAGGCCAACGTCGAGGAGTATAAACCCACAACAGGCAAAAGTGCCGAAGCCCCAACCTTCGGCAACTACTCAACAGAGCTTGAAGACTACCTCTTCCCAGAATCCTCTTTCCCTTATATATGGCAGTACATCTATCCGTACGTGAACACGACGTCATCGCTCGAGGATGCATCCATGGATCCTGAGTTCGGCAAGACTGCAGAAGAGTTCCTCCCTCCGGGAGCGCTAGAATCCACCGCACAAAAGCTCGACCCTGCCGGACCAGGCCTTACGGATCAGCCAGGTGGTAACACTGGATTATTCGATATCTTGTATACGGTAACCGCTAAAATTACCAACACTGGCGACGTGGTGGGCGACGAGATCCCGCAGCTCTATATTTCCCTTGGCGGAGAGGATGATCCGCCAGTAGTCCTCCGCGGTTTTGATCGGATTCAAATTGACCCGGGCTGCACCGAGGTTTTTACGGCAACCTTAACACGACGTGATGTTAGCAACTGGGATGTCGAATCTCAGAACTGGGTCATTACCAGCTCCGCCAAGACCGTATTCGTCGGTCCCAGCAGTCGCAAGTTGCCCTTAAGCGCTCCATTATCGTAGGATATATAATGACATATATTGAATATAATTTCTAGCCAAGCGAAGTCGACAAGGGATTAAATACCTGGGTACTTATTAACGTAATTAATAGTTGGCCAGATGTAAATATGCTTGTATATAATCTATAATATTAATTTTTGGACTATTGGTTATAGATTACGATCCTCGATAAATCAGTGTAATATGTGAGGCTTATTATGTATTGAAATGTAAGAGAAAAGATTCCCATTGGCAGGCGGTTAGTTCCAGTTAAAATAAAGCCAAGTGCCCGAGTTTACGAGGGATGCCCGAATTTATGAGGGTGCCCAAGTTTACGAGGGATATTGTCAGACAATCTTTTTGCCTGGCCATTTTTCGAGATAAGAAGTTCGTCCGTGCGCAGCTTTAGAGCGTTTTTATTGGGTACATCTTCCCAAAATAACGGGTCTTACCAGATTCCCCACTTTCGAGAAAAAAATCAAAATACGTATCTTTTTATACAAAAGCGTGGGTTTAAATCCCACCCGTATTTTATTTTTAAAAACCCTTTTTTTTCCCCAAAAACCCTTTTATATAAAAAATAATAAAAACATAATTTAATATTTTATTTTATTTTATTTTATTTTATTTTATTTTATTTTATTTTATTTTATTTTATTTTATTTTATTTTATTTTATTTTATTTTATTTTATTT